ATAAACGGAAATGGATCCACCCTACTTTACGCAGCTGTCAGGACCGGTAATTATAGTATTGTATGCGAGCTGCTTTCGACAGCATGTGGATCTGACCGCTGTCGATGCAGCAGGCTGGTTACCATTGCATTCTGCTGCAGAGGGGGACGACGATATCGTACAGAACTTACTCAGGATATATGAGGATAATTTGAATAATATATTATGAGTGTATCAGGACAAGGGTAGCAATAATATCAACCCTCACCTTGGGATTGATGCTTAGAATGCCCCCTTTTGCTTGGCCATTTTTGCCTGGGAAGGGGGAATAAGATATTGCGGATCATTATCATCCTCTGACAAGCACCCTCCTCTAGTACTGTTCTATCTCTCAATATATGAGGCTTGCGACCCCAAATGGTGATGTAGAGCGTGAGTGCTTTCTGAGAGTCCCCACCGAATTTCACGGACTAGTTATCAGAATGTTACTTTTTGCCTTCGTTCTTCCATGTGATTATCTCTTTTTTTTGTTTCTCGCTGTGTTCTTTAAACTTTTACTTTCTGTGCGTACAACCTATGGTTTGATTTTCAGATTCAGCTCTACATCGGATGGGCTACGTGCAAGTTCCAGAGTGGCGGGTTCGCGTCTTCGTGTTTTGATACCATCAAAGCAGAGTTTTTATTTTTCTCATTTCGGTGTCTATGTACAGATTTGAGGACAGATTATGTGCTATCGGGCATTGCTAGGCACCCTCTCATTATACTGTGAAGATCCAAAAGAACAATATGCTAATGTGGATCGGCGCTGATCAGGCCAGTTTTGTCTTATCTCCATGATCATGCTTATGCTTCATCGCGGTCACAATCACATCTGAATGAAGCGCCACACCAGCCTCAGTGACGATAGTATCCAAGGGGTCCCTTTTGAAGAACATCATCTCATAGTGGTCCAAGTGGGCCAAGTTGTTATACCGATGCTCAATGATTGTCTCTTGTTCCAGAGTCAGAAACATCTTCCAATAATAGGCACAATGAACAAGATGCCACTGGTGCGTAGTAAAAAAGTGGCCCCCCAGTCTCAGGCAGCATGGAGACCTCAACGGATAGTAGTTGCGTTTTATTCTTATCCCCGTAGTACGGCCAGCTACCGTATGGGTTAGGATTCGCACGTTCAAAGCGATCGATCAGCTCATCTTTCCGGCACACCGGAGGTAGCCAGGCTGCGGCGAGTGAATCGTACCGACACCCGTTGGCAATGGCCTCTGAGAGGGTTTCGCCGCAGTTGCACGATATTGGTCTCAGAGGTCGAGGGAATCAGTAGACTTGGTATCCTATGTTCATGAGACCGACGCCGGCAAGGAGTATGAGGAAGGTTTGCTTGATGGGGGCTCGGGAGAAGCTCTCACAATGACGTGGACTTCTTGCGCGGTTGGGCGTGAGAGGCCTCGTCGATGCCATTTTCCTGTTGCCTACATTCTTCAGAGTCCCTCGGGAGCTGAGAGCAGATATCAATGCTTGGTATGTCGCTGACTGGCTTTTATTTCACCATCATGGCTTTCGGTCTGTGTGTTCGACAATTTGCTACTCCTTCCGAACATGGCTAGCTTTTTATAGATGAATAGGTTGCTCGCACTATGCAATAACTTAATACGGACGTGTTTGTGTTTTGCAATGTGGGCATGAAATGAGGGGAAGAGAGATGGGGGTGGTTAAAGGATCCTTTCTTCCACTCTCTGGTCGTCTGCCTTTCTAGACGTGCTAGTTACGTCTAGCAATGCAGGCTTATACTTGGAAAAAATAATGTCAGGGGGTCCCTGGCCAGCCCTAACATCCCTCTCTGCAAGTCGTTAACTGGGGCTCCTTACATGAGCTTGAAATTGTGATTTATGCAGGGGCCTGTATGGCACATAGCTACCAAGAATCGCGTCAGATGGATGGTTGGACATTTCAGCTGACAGCTGACACGATACCACAGGACGTAGTGCTATGCTTGGTGAAATATACCATTTACATCTAATAACTCACATTCTCATATATAAAACCTGTATAGAGAGCAAAGCATTGTGTCTGATACTCATAGAAGACCTCTATGGACATGACTTGCTATTATTTTCGTACACAGCCAATGCGAAGCGCTATCCATCTATTGACAGGGTGTTTAATAGACTAGGATAATCCCGCAATGCTGAATTTGCATTGGCAATTCCATACGTACCTAAAGGTGGGCAGACTTTGGAGCAACTGTCGAAACGACAATTTAATCATCCAGCCAGGCCTGAGCGTATCTGAAACAAGATGAATAGACAAAATTGAATAACAAAGGAAAGGATCGTATAAGGCTTGTTGTAAGGTCATCGGCACATTCTAAAGTCGTTCATTGTTTCGTGAATTGGCTCTCTGAGCTTCGTCGTAAACGATTCAAGGATAATAGGGGATAGCCTCAGCGTCCTCGTTGCGTTTCGGGTAGTAGGGGATTGCTCCAACATCCTCACTGCGCTTAGGGTAGTACGGGTGGCCTCGGCACCTTCGCTCCTCTTGGGGTAGTACAGAATAGCCTCAGTATTGATCGTACTGCCTCTGCGCTTGAGTCGAGCGCTGAGCGACCCTCGAGATTGGCTGGTGTAAATGGCCCTGATATTGCACTTCCAATGCCTTTCCTAGCCGGGCCACCAGGAGGGTTATAGTGTGATTGGCGCCATTCGGTGTGGGAAACAGCAACATGCGCGGCAATAACAATAGCAGTCTCAATAGCATTGATACTGATTCTTTGCAAATACCTATGTAATAGCCAGCTCCGCTATAGAGGCACTAAGCACCAAGAGCATTGGATTTGATGGGAACTAGGACTGAGCAAGAGGAAGGAATAATTAACAAATGTCGTGAGGAGACTAGGGTTGCATTGTAAGGCTTAAGTGACGTCTTGGATCTCATGTATATGATTCAATAGACCGACAGCTAGTAATGATCGAGGATTGCCAAGCAGACTTTGATAGGGCGAACATATTTCCCACTGGCTTCCCCTGTAAGGCTTGAAGGCTTGAATAAATTCCGAAAACCATCCAATGACTTCCTTGGTGAATCTCATTCAGACACAATTTAATGGCGCTGGAAGTGGGTCCGACGCAGATGCTCGTCCAGATTGTCTCTGCGGTTGAACGTTCTCATGCAGGTCGGCTCGGGACATTCATGGGAACTCGGAGAGATATGCTGAGTCTCGACGTGCCGCTTCAACTCGGCCTTGCGGGCGAATAGACCAGTATACGTGCAGCCTTTCCACTCGCATTTAATCGTGTCGTCACGGCGTACGCTACTGCTGCTGGTGAGTTCTGCATCTCAGGACCAAGATGGGGAAGGGAAAGATACTTTGCGTTCGATCCTCTAAGATGGGAATCCGGTCTTCGAGAACGGGTTCTGGGTACTGCCACTGCCATAGAAGGCTGCGGAATGGATGAAACAGTATTGGGGCTCATTAGAAGAGGGTTAAACGCGAAATGATCCTCATTGCCAATCGCCTGAAGGCCAGATGGCGCGGCTGTTGCAAAGTCCAAGGGCGTAACATTATCTGTCCAAGTGTCCGCGCCACTACTACGGCTGGTAGAGCACACAGTATACCTTGTTTCGTGTGAAGGTTGGGCTGAAATTTCATTCAGATCTGGGGGGAAAGGGCCATTCTCAGGTACGTGGACATGAATGACGAAATGTTGAATGCATCTGCATCAATATGGAATGCATGACTCTCGCCGTCACTCCTATTAACCCACGGACCCGCCCAGGTACCGCAGTAGGGATTGGACGACATAATGACAGCACTGGATAGACGGAATAGAGGTAATTCGACTTTTGCTAGAATGAGACTGGCAATTGAAGCATGACGAATATAAGGAAAAGATTCGACAAAGGACAAGGTTTTATATATGAGCATGCCTGGGATCGAATACAACTGTCCATAGTTCCTTGCGATAGAAATTGTTCAAAACGAGGAGAGCGTTGGTTCTTGGAGCCGCTTCTGCGGTTCTGCGGTTGTGCATATGACGGGCTAATCACCATGCGGAACAAGTGTTCCACGATAGGGTGATTAGGCACCTTGCATACACTGTAACTACTGCGCAGTACAATTTACTATTCTTGTATTGGACTGCGAGGCTAACATTATTAGGGTTAGGTCCAATTATAGTAATACTTCACTCGGGCTAGTACAGGATTCGCTGTCCAAGTATCCTTGGGAGTTTTTCATTGGGTCGGTCCACCATCTTCACGGAGTAGGTGTACAGCGGAAGGTATCCGGTGGAGAATCATCACACCTGTTTAAGATCCAATTATATTTTGTGTACAGCTGACGCGATTTGTACAAACCTTCCCCACAGTACTGGCATATTGGGACATGGCTTGTCAATCCCTGAAGCCTCGCCTGCATGGAGTCGTGGCTTACCACTCGTGTATATCTGCTGGGCGGAGATCGGGCACATGACGAGGACGAATGAAAGAGCAACGGCGGTGTGGACGGACACTGCCACAACATGGAATATCAAGAACTATACACAGAGGACCCACGATTCGATTTTATAATACAGTAGTATAAACTACTTCAGTAAACTTTTATTTGGTGATGACGTCATAACGTGTCGTAGGCTCAGACATTCGTATCAGTTGGGGGTTGGGTAATTCGCCAGCGTAGATTGACTAGCATAGTGCAATTCGAGATGCACTATGCAAAGTTTCATATAGATTTTCCAACTCCGTGCACAAAAACGATAACACTCCAGTTCGCCTTCAGTTATAGCCGTTTAAAGATGTTTCTGCGAAGCCCTATTATATATACGTCCTCTTAACATACCCTCTGTTGTATTTGTTTCCTCCGAAGTATAGGATCATACCTGCAAGAGGGAGTTGGTGGGTTTGCTGTAGCCTCTTTCGTCTATTTTCTAGATCAGCAACTTCGGCTCTTTTCTGATGAGTCGGTATTGAGTTAAGAGGCATGTTGTTGTGGTCGGCAATGCCGCCGTTATGAGGAGGAGTCCACCTTAGGCCTCTAGTGCGGCCATAATTCTTCGCACAGCCTCGCTCAGATACTCTTGGGGCTGTGAGAAGACAATTCTATACCACCCGCCATGCTCCGAGCCGAACAATGAGCCGCTAGCTAAGAAGACTTTCTTCTGCAATAACAGTTCCATGACCGTTTCGCTAACATCCTCATCGCCCTTGACCTCAGGGTGGAGTTCGCGGTACTTCTTCCCCAGATTCATCCAAATAAAGAATGCAGCATTGGCTCCAGTCGAATACTCGATCCCGTTGCTCTTGAGCTGCTTCGCAACAAAAGAATAATTCTCCGAGAGCTTCTCGCGGTTTAACCGGATATATTCATCTGTGAAATCGACATCCTCAAGGAGGAGAGATACCAGATGTTCCGAGACCCCCGATACATAAGAATATAGGCCAACATTTCGTAATGCCATTAGCATGTCACGATTGGCTTGTGAGATGATCACGCCCAGTCGGAGACCATTCGCACCAAAGTCCTTGCTTACGCCCCATAGGATATGAACGAGCTGGGGATCAATGATGCCTGTCAGATCGAGTGAAAGGGAGGATTCGAAATCGACAGGCTTCGGACTCTCGTCGACGGTATTCGTCCACACGGACAACGCATATATCTCGTCACTAATAAAGTGCATCTGGTATTTCTGGCAGAGTTCCATCAACTTCACAAGCACATGTCTGGGGTAACATCGTCCCAGTGGATTATGAGGATGACAGAGTGCCAGTCCCTTTACCTTCCGTCCTGTCGTCTCCTGAAAACTCAACAGTGCCTGTTCATACTTCTGGACGGCCTCCAAACTGAACGGATCACAGTCATCGAAGCTCACAGGGATAACCGTTGCTCCAGGTCGCAGTGAAATATCCGGTATGAACGTCCCATAGTACGGTCTTCCCAGAAGAATCCCCTCACCAGGTTCCGTTATCGCCCAAGACATGTGCTCAATTGCCGACGAAACACCGTTGGTAATGAACAGATGACTGGGCTCCACCGCATGCAAGGGGCGAAAATGCCGGTTGATAAAAGCGGACACAGCACGTTTTACTCTTGCTGACCCAGTAGGGCCATCATTATACGTGAGTAGTTTAGCAGGCAAGTCGAGTTGCCGGTTGAGGAAACTCAGCAAGTGATCGTGCATCAGAACATTCTCGGCAACGCCACATTCACGTATCCATTTGGGTTCGTCTTTTCACACCATAGGTCGTTCACCACGTCCCACATCAGGTTCTTTGAGCCTGCTACTAGGGCGCTCTGTGCCCTTTGGGAGATGGTCGAATGTGTTGTTTCTGACTGCGACATTGTGGACGGTGGCTCGCTTAGAGAAGACGAGCAAGGAGAGGAAGAAACGGATGTATTGGTAAACCAGACGCCAAGTGGGAGAGGCACTTCAGAGGATATATTCTGGAATATCGAAGTTCTCTTCAGGCTGAGTCAAGGTGAAGAAAGAATTGGGTATACTTCCACCACCGACTTCGGCGTTATACCGCTTACGGACGGTTACATTCGGGTGGATCTCCGAGGAATGACCGAGAATTCGTTATCCAATAGCTTTGAAAAGATTGAAACTCGTATAGTACTGAGAGTCTATTTGCCAAGTGCTTGAAACCGTGACAATTCGACTTGCTCTCTAGGCTATAATTGTACAGGTTATATGGTAATACATAGTAAACTGAGGGCGGTACTGAAGACGCAACGGTCTTGACCCCAGGAAAACGAACCTGGAGGAAAGTGCTGATATCGACCAGAACCCCAACGGCTCGTCCTTATTTTAAAGTAAAATGTTTAACCTTGGTCTCCACTTCAAAACCCGAAGGCCGAGAATCTTATCTGCCATCGGTGATTGCACCGGGTTACCGACGCGACATCACGGTAGATCTGTCAAATACAAGTCAATGCACACCTCTTTTACCTTGGGACGTTCAGATCTAAGATATAGGAACTACAGGAGACTTGCAGGTTCCCTCGTAGTAGTGCCGTGATTACATGCATTCTTTTGGTTACTGTGCTCCGGATACACATGAGGTTCACCTGGCCGTCTGGTCGCGCTACATAATATCATATTCTATCAGGTCTTTGCGATAAATCAAAACAAAAATACCAATTGTAGGGAAATGCTGCAGGGTGAGTAGGTGGGTATAATTTGTAAACATCTATAAGGGCATGTGAGGAACCAATCCAACACATGTAGGAGACATTCAATATATATTTTGGCGGAACAGATCTGGATCTCGGGCCACACTTCAAGCTAATGGCTTAACCTCTCCACTTCGAGGTCAACACTTTATTGAAACGATTTTAACCAACTATCTCAGCCATAGGCACGCGAGTATCCTATCTTTATTTGGGTTTGAATAATGTCACGTATGTATGTACACCACTAACTAGATCAAGTACAGAGAAGTCCACACATAGATGGCCCAAGCGCCCTTCACCGTTGCAAACGCTTGTACAAGAGGCGCGTAAATAATGATTGGATAGGGGTCGCCGCAATCATCTGTTCGCTTGTGAAGTCCTATGTGTTTCTGGATATACGTAATGAACATAGTCTTAGTATGAAATTGGTAGATTTTATACGGAACTTGCCCGTCTCAAGATCTTTGATCAATACATGATAAGAATTTTACTGCGGCAGACCAATGGCTATGGAAACACATTTTGGTTGAGAGCAAGGAAATACGAACTGAAAAAGATCATCACCATGGCGCATTCCCATGTCCGCCAAGTCGGACAACACATGAGGTGAAAACAAAAAAGCATAGCGTCCCACGGCGGTATGTAATAATAATGACAAGGGGAAGAAAAGTAAGTCAACAGTGGAAAACAAACCACCGAATTAAAGAAGATACTCCGCCACGTCTGTAGGTGGGATGCTGGTACGAAAGAGGTATTTGTACAGACGTTTCACATAATGCAAATTCTAAGAAGCATTCACTCGGGCTTGCGTCCAACCATCAGGTACATGGGGGTGAAGAGCTTCTTCTCACCACCCGCCACGAGGCAGTCTCCTGCCACCGCCAAGCTGTCGGCGGTCTTCTGGGTGCCCTTGGGGGCGAGCCCAACCGTTTCCAAAGCACCGACGAAGCGATGAGCGATGCCACGTCCCCACCATGTCATACGAGCGATGGTGAAGAAATCCCAAGGCGAGGTCATGTGCTTGAACGATCCGGCAAGAGGGTAGTACCAAGGAATAGCATCTGGGCGGTCAGCCAGATCTTCATGGTGAAGGACCTCAAAGCCAGCGTTCTTGAAGGCCTGAAGACCCTCAGACACCTTAACCATGTTGGAGATACCGTCTCCCTGCTCGATACCCAGACGGATCTTGCGGTGCTCGGCGTTGTCGTTATCATATTCGTCGGTCATAAGCCACTCGTAAACACCAAACACACCACCAGGCTTCAGCACACGGAGGATCTCCTTATAAACGCCCTCGAGCTCAGGAGCGTGGCATGTAGCTCGATGGCATAAACAGCGTCAAACGAGTTATCGGGGAAGCTCATTTGCATGAAGTCACCCTTGACGAAGCTCAGTTTGTCGCTCAATCCCTCGCGCTCAGCATAGCGGGTGGCACGCTGAATCTGGTAATCATTGTTGTTGAATCCGACCACGTTGCATCGGTGAATTTGCAAATCTCGCGCGCGGGACCGCCAACACCGCAGCCAACATCGAGGACCTTCATACCACTCTTGATGCCCATGGTGTGAGCCAGGTAGTGTTCATGACGGGCAATGGCTTGGTGGAAAGGCTCGCCCTGGGCAAAGCGGCAGAAATGGAAGGAGGTACCCCAGCCGTATTCATACAGATCGGTCGCCAGGTTGTAGTAACTGAAGGATGTTAGAAGAAAGATCAGTGGTATGAAGCTGGGCTCGAAATACGTACTGTCTGGTCAAGGTGGCATATTCGGCACGGCGAGCCTGTCAAAATCGTTAGACCACATGTATACAAGTTGTACAATCCAAGTATTCCATACCGCACGAATATCATCAGTCTCATCGGCGGCATCCTTGTTATCCCAGTGCTTGAAGTACTCCTCAACCGCAGCCTTCTGCGCAGCGGCGTCCTTTCCTCCAAGCATGGCAGCGAAGCCGCCCTGAGCCTGGGAGGATTTTCCATGGAGGACGCGATTGAACTCAGCATCACGAGTATGGTTCTCTTGTTCCAAAGTAGCGGGGGCCATGGTGATGAACAATTGGCTTCAGTTGTGTTGAACGTTTAAAAAAGGGGTGGATTGGTGATGACGAGAATGCGGCAGGACAGCAATGACCGATCAGGGAACTTCTGAGTGATTTATACTCACGAAGAAAAGAAAGGAAGGAAGAAGCCAAGTAGCCGGATAGGCAGCAAATAAAAAAGAAGAGAGACGGAAATGAGAAAAGAAGAGGTCAAAAATAGAGCAGCGAAATAAATTCAGCAACCAAACAAGATCGACGAAAAGAAAGGAGGCGGAATTGCGACGATTTGACACTTCCCCTGCCAATCAGCTGGCCAGCCAACCACGCAGCGGCAGGCTAGGCCGAAAGGGACCATCCGGGGTTCTGGCCCTCGCGCCGGAAACACCTTCTTCCGGCACCGCGTTAAACCCCTTCGAGAAGGAACATGTGAGAAACCGTCGTATTCCGCGTATTCGATGTCGATGGAGATTGGAATCCACCTTGATTTGATGTTGCCAGCTGCTGGTGGACCCTGAACAACGTTCGCTTGGACACTTAATCTTCAATAATAGATTCTTATCGATGAGCAGCTCCCCACATACGCATTTACCTCGAAATTTTCCAACTTCCGTGCTCCGTCGAGCCTATCACGTGGGGCTCTACCGTTATGTCAGCAAAGTAGCCACCTGAGCCACACCCAGCCACAGTTAGAACAAACGCTGCTATCGATAATCATTCTTTTGCCAGTCATTGAACGCCACCAACTCTTCACATCCTGCTTGCTCTGGGTCCCCGCGCCATTTGAGCTAGGATAGCAGCACATCAATATGCCTCCTCCGCAGATCAAACAAGACTTGAACCGATCAGGATGGGAGACAACCGACTTTCCCTCTGTTTGCGAAACTTGCCTGCCCGATAATCCGTACGTACAGATGCTGAAGGAGGACCATGGCGCAGAATGCAAAATTGTAAGTCAGCCCCGGTTGCAGAGCTCTGCATTGCTTTAGATCCTGCTGTGCTAACAGTTGAAAAGTGCACTCGCCCTTTCACCATATTTCGCTGGAAGGCGGACCGCACGGCACGCACCAAGAGAACCGCGATCTGCTTAACATGCGCACGCCTCAAGAATTGTTGTCAGTGCTGCATGCTCGATTTGTCATTTGGACTGCCGATTGTCGTCCGTGATGCCGCGCTGAAGATGGTTGCCCCGGGTCCCGAAAGCACAATCAACCGTGAATACTATGCCCAGGAGCACGAGAAGGAAATCGAAGAAGGACGAGGCGCGGTCGAAGCGTATGAGAAAACAGATGAGAAGGCGCGAGAACTCCTCAGGAGACTAGCAAACAGCGAACCCTATTATAGAAAGCCTCGGCAACTCGAGGCGCCGCAGGATGAGGAGAGCGAGAAACCGTCGACAGACGCGCCGGTGGTACACAGCCGTTATGGCAATGGCCCAGGGCCCATCCGCACGACTGAGAGCAGGAGGGGTACGACTTTACCTGGAAGAGGACGCGGAAATATGCGTGGTGGCCGTGCTGGTCGTCCGTTTCCCGGCACGGCTCAACTGCCACCCTCCCAAGAGGATATTCTCCCGCCTGCGGATCCTAATGTTACGTCCCTCTTTGCCACCGGTGTTGAGGATGACCTTCCCGAGCATACTTTGCGTACCTTTTTCTCGCAGTTTGGACAGCTCCGCTCGTTGGTCTGCTCTCATCGCGCTCATTCGGCGTTTATCAACTTTGCTACTCGCGAAGCTGCCGAGGCGGCTGCGAAGCATTGTCAGGGCAAGGCTGTCATTCAGGGCTGCCCATTACGCATTCGTTGGGGAAAGCCTAAGCCATTGGATAACATGGATCGCGAAGAGCGTATGAAGTACGCCCGTGAAGGCCGCTCGGCCGCTCCGACGGTGAGAGCCTCGGGCTCAGGCAACAAAGCGATCACCGCTGCTGGCGAGGATCTGGGCAAACAGGGCCAACCCCGGAGTTACGCTGTCGCCCCGCCCCCAGGTAGTGGCGAGGTTCAATATACCAGTATGTCTGGTGATTAATTACACGTTCACATGTCCATAACTTCTCCTTATATTGTTCTTGGGAATCAGGAGGCATTACTTGTATGTTCAAAGCAGGCGTTGTTATGTGTGTCTATTTCTCTTTGTTACATTCATATCTTCAATCGAAATACCCCAAAAGACGCCGAAGGAGAGAAAAGTTGGGTATACTATAATACAATGCAAAAATGCAGGTGTTATCATGTGCATCCTTCGTAGGAAACTTCCACTCAGCGACACTTATGCCGAACAAGCCTTATGAATCTTGATATCCTTGCCCGCATGCTTGATCGAATCATTGTCACCACGCTCGATATCATCGTGAATCCGAAGTTCTAGAAGCCGTAAGGGTTAGCCACAATTGATATCCAACGTATGTAAACCACTGTGCGATTTAACTGGTACGACATACCCCACTTGGCGGCTTCGTTGCCCTCCTCTTTTACTCCTTGTACAATGTTGTGCTTCAAGATGCTGGCCACTTCAATGGCATGGTTGATCTGCATGGGCGTATCGATGCCTACGCGCTTATGTTCGTCGAACTGGCGGCGGGCCTCTTGACGAGCAGCGAGGAGTACACGAGTGTCCTCTGTGAGAGTGATAGTTAGCCTTAGAAAGTATTATCAAGCGAAGTAGAGTACTTACCATGGAAGGCAATGCGGGTAGCGCGGAGAATCTGACGGTAGGCGCCACGGGCGGAAAGGGATGGGGCAGCCATTTTGTTGTTTATAAAGTATTATGAATGGAAAGCTGCTCGAGAAAAGACTATAATCGTCTGATAAGTTCTCTTTGTGTTAAAGCCCGGGCTTTGCGGCGATCGCAGTATGATTCGAAATTTTGGCGATAACGGAATTGAGTCGATGCGACGACACAAATAGCCAACCAAATAATAAAGACAAAGGTCTTTTATAGAAGAAGGCTATAATCGATAACTAGTGCCAGACTCTGGGGTCCAAAGTTGGGAAAAGGAGATAAGTTCTTCGTTCCTGGCCTGGTCAATCCATCGCCTTCGATGACCTCCGAAACACCCGCCGCCTGATTGGCAGTTTCCAAAGCGGCAAGTCGGGGCAGAAAAAATAAAAACGGCGTCTCAATTTTCTGCCATCAGCCCCCCCATTCTTATCGCCAGCACACAACACTGGGTATCTTTCCCTTCTAAATTCCCCGAAGCACATCCAAGACAATTGCTTCGATTTAGTCAAAATGACTTCTGTCCAAGTTGTCAACGTCTCTTTGCCCGCCCTTTCTGAGGGTTGGTCTGCTGAGGGGGGCTTCAAGGCCGTCGGCACTCTTTCTGGTGCTACCCAGCGGAATCTGGAGCCTGTTGGCCCTCACTTCTTGGCCCACGCCCGTAGAGTATGTGTGCATTTTACCAAATTCGGTGGTTGAGTTCCTAGCGGCTCTCACTATCAGATATCGATATATCGAATCGGTGCTAACAACCCTCCAGAAGCGTCACCACCGCACCTTCTCCGAGGATGAGAGAATCCAGGCCCAGCAGAACGTCAAGAAGACTGAAGAGGAGGAGGATGACGAGATCTCCGAGGACGAAGACCCCATGATGCTGTCTCGGGACGCTAAGGACTGGAAGGTATGTTCAATGGCCTATGTGTACCTTTTACGTTCAATATTCTAACATGTCTTCCACAGAGCCAAGATCACTACGCCGTCCTTGGTATTACCAAGTACCGTTGGCGCGCCACCCCCGAGCAGATCAAGCGTGCCCACCGCAAGAAGGTTCTGCGCCACCACCCCGACAAGAAGGCCGCCCTGGGTGACCGTGACGAGAACGACAGCTTCTTCAAGTGTATCCAGAAGGCCCACGAAGTGCTCTCAGACCCCGTCAAGCGTCGTCAGTTCGACTCCGTCGATGAAGCCGCCGATGTTGAGCCCCCCACCAAGAAGGAGGCTGCCAAGGGTAACTTCTACAAGCTGTGGAACCGTGTCTTCGACTCCGAGGGCCGTTTCTCCAGAATCCAGCCCGTCCCTAGGTTGGGTGATGACAACAGCACCTTCGAGGAAGTCGACAACTTCTACAACTTCTGGTACAACTTCGACAGCTGGCGTTCGTTTGAGTACCTCGATGAGGATGTGCCCGATGACGGCGAAAGCCGTGACCAGAAGCGTCACACCGAGAAGAAGAACGCCAACGCCCGCCGCAAGCGCAAGAACGAGGACACTGCTCGTCTCCGTAAGCTCGTAGACGACTGTGCTGCTCAGGATGAGCGTATCAAGAAGTTCCGTAAGGCTGCTCGTGCTGACAAGGACAAGAAGCGTCTTGAGAAGGAGGCTGAGGCTAAGCGTCTGGCTGAGGAGAAGGAGAAGGCTCGTCTGGAAGAGGAACAGCGCAAGAAGGATGCTGAGGAGGCCGCTAAGGCTGAGCGTGAGAAGAACAAGAAGGCCAAGGAGGCCGCTAAGAACGCTACCAAGAAGAACAAGCGTGTTGTCAAGGGCTCCGTCAAGGAGGTCAACTACTTCGCTGATGGCGAGGCCTCCGCCGCCCAGGTCGACTCCGTTCTGACCGACGTTGAGCTTATCATGGGCAAGATTGATGCCGAGGAGCTTGCCGGTCTGGCTGAGCGTCTTACTGCTGCTGGCAAGGATGCTGCTGCCGTCAAGAACGTCTACGCTGAGGAGGCCAAGAGACTCGTTGGTGCCGGTAAGCTCAAGGAGGGCGAGACCAAGAACTTCTAGAATACTTGTCTAGAAGGTACGACTTTGTCATGAACATAATGCGTCTCTAGCACAGGGTCCATGCTAGAGAGACTCGTCAAGCGATATGGGACATAGCTTAAAAGCGATCTATAGATAGATAGATTTGGTTTTCAAAAGACTAATGGAGGCAACGATTTTGATGCATCTTATATTCTCATTCAGCTAGCGATTAAACAATGTTATAGACCCGTTGACCATTCCGCAGTCCCGAAGTCGTAGTATAGCCCTCTTCATCCTTTCGATAACAAACCCAACCTCCGAAAGAACACCCCGTATATCCTATGCCTAACTACATTCATATATCATTTACCTAATTGAATCGTTGTCTCATCGGATAAAATTGCATACCAATTCATTAGTCTCATATCTCGTTACAAATAGAAGTAAAGTAGTACACTAGCCCTAACACACACACACACCACATCAAGGAATCACTTCCCAAATCACGACCATAACAAAGAAACCTTTCTCCAAAAAACATTCGACGTGCCCTTCCTTTCCTTCTTGCTAGCGTCCATCCTAGCCCACGTCTCCGCCTCAGCATTAACCCGATCAACACCGGATCTCAAATCCACATCCTGCGGGTTATACACCCAGGGATCCTTCCGCCCAACGGTCAACCTATGCCCGAAATAAATAGCCAAGAAAAGGGGAATTCCAAGATACGCCGTCAAAAACCCACTAGCAGAAAAGTGGCCGGGGAAGAAAACAGTAAACCCATTACACAGTAACAGGAGGGTGAAAACGAACAGACAGATCCAAGCCGCGACGGGCTGGATACGCGAACGATAAGGCATGACGATACCCTGGGCGTCGCAGGCGTTCCGGAACCGCAGGAAGATAATGCAGCATATGAGCCAGGAGGTGTATCCGGAGGTGTTGGTGAGACTGACGAACCAGTTGAAGACCTCGCCGGCCTGCGAGCCGGCATTGAGATAGGCGAGTAGTGTGAAGCAGCTGCTGGCTAGGACGGCGTAGATCGGTAGCCCGTAGCTGGTGCACCGGGTGAAGATCTTGGGGGCGTTGCCGGCGACGGCGAGGGAGTAGAGCGCGCGGCTCGACATGTAGAGGTAGGCGTTGCCGGCGGACCAGGCGCTGGTCAGGATGCAGGCGTTGATGATGGAGGGGAGCACGCTGATGCCGGCGTTGCGGATTGCGATGACCCATGGGGACGCGTTGGCATCGCCTGTGTTCGATGTGAGGCCTTCGGCGTTGGAGGGGCAGGTGACCCCCATGGAGAGGGTTCCGAAGATGTAGAAGACAACGAGGCGGCCGAAGTATCGGCGGGATGCTTTGGGGAGGTTCTTGCGTGGATTCCGCATTTCTCCACCCGTGAATACCATTAGCTCCGGGCCGAAGAAGAAGGAAAAGCCGGACCAGACCCAGACGTAGAGGAAGGAAGTGAAGCGGCCGACGCTTCCAGAGACTATATAAGCGTTCGTTGCGCCAGGGTCGTTCCAGTAACGGAATCCAAGTCGGTCATGAGTAGGCGCTCCGCCGAGCATGATGACAAGAGATAGGATGATCATCCCAATGATCATGACTACTTTGATGCCCGCGAACCAGAATTCGGCCTCTGCGTAGACACCCACTGGACAGAGGTTGAGACCTATGATGACGACCAGAACGACGGTGACCCATACGGCGATATGAACGTTGTTTGGCCAGTAGTTGATGACAAGGCTGGCCGCAGTGATTTCGTATGCGACGATGATGCCGAACGAGTAGAAATAGAGCCAGCCTAAGGCAAAGCCAAGGGATGGTGAGACGTAGCGGCTACAGTAGTATGCAATCGAGGACCCGGGGATGGGAAGGTACGTGCTCATTTCAATCACTGCAGTGAAAACGCCGTAAACAAGAAGAGACATCAGTCCATAGGCAAGGAGGAGGAAGCTGGGTCCCCCAATTACTAGTGCCTGGCCAGCGCCAACGAAGAAGCCCGTGCCAATGGCACCGCCAATAGCCATCATTTGAGCATGGCGTGACTTGATATTTCTTTTGACCCCAGCCCGCTCAACATACTGGAATTGCTGGCCAGCTGAGCAACTTTCGACTTTTCCGAGATCAAGGGCCTCTTTCTTCCCAAGATTGTCCTCATTAGCGTGTGGAAGACCAGGGGTCTCAGTCATTGCGAGGATAAGTACAATACGTCTAGTCAAAGAGGCAAAAGAGGAGGGATAGGTGTCAAAGACCCTAAAACGGACTGTTTGACCGGGCTACATTGTGATTTAAATGGAATCTACTGGTCTGCGCATGATACTCTCTCTGGCTCTTCTACCGATACGAGACTTGGCTTATCATGAGGCAACAGCCTTGTTTCTGACCTTATCTCTGTTTGATAAGGACATGACTTCTAAGACCTTCCCCAGACTGTCATATTGACGCTGTATTGATTGATGGCTGAGCGGCCAATCAAAAGTCAAACTGCGTTGAGAAAGTCTCCGCATCCCGTGACTGCGTTGCCCTTCCTTTTTGGGCGAGTATGCATCATTAGAGCTGGCGTCTTATCTTTTCTCCGCTTGGCTCAACCAAGGCCAGATGGAAAGTGAAGGAGACACCATCTTGTGGAAGCAAACACCTACTTGAGGTTGTGTGCCACATGATTCCGTTCCTCAGTGTGGGCCAGGAATATAGGTAGAGTCCACAGTATAAAAGACAACATATAGACCCCGCATCAACAGGCCATCTGGCAATTTCTCATCTACCACAAGAACATCAGTCAAACATACCAGCAGAAATGGGTTCTATCGGTCCACGAGAGCAAAACTACGACGTCTTGATAATCGGCGCGGGCCTTTCGGGCATCTACAGTTTACACGAGGTTCGGAAGAATCTTCCCTCCTTGAGCGTCAAAGTCCTCGAAGCTGGAGAAAGCGCTGGAGGTACCTGGTTCTGGAATTGCTATCCAGGTGCCCGCTTTGACTCTGAAACAATATCCTATCAGTTCTCATGGGACAAGGAACTCTTGCAGGAATGGGACTGGAAAGAGACCTTCTCCGCACAGCCGGATACTCTGAAATACATTGAGCGAGTCTGCGAGAAACACGACCTATACAAGGATATTCAGTTCAACACTCGAATCAAGTCGGCACATTGGCAGGATGCGGAACGCACTTGGCTTTTCGTGGATGAGGCTGGTTTTCACTATCGTGCGCGCTTCTTCATCAGTTGCTTGGGTGTTCTATCCAGCCCGACACTACCTGCGATCCCCGGTATCAAAGACTTCCAGGGTCAGTCTTTCCATACGTCGCGCTGGCCAAAGGATTTCGACATGAAGCGCGACTTCGCCGACAAACGAATCGGAGTGATTGGCACAGGAGCAACCGGGATTCAAACTATTACAGAAACATCCAAAGAGCCCAGTATTAAATCGCTCACCGTGTTCCAGCGAACTGCTAATTGGTCTGCCCCGCTCCGAAACACCAAGATCACGCCCGAAGATATGGAGAAGGTGAAAGCTGAATATGACACTACCTTCCAGCGCTGTGCCTCAACACCGACCGGCTTCCTGCATCAACCCGACCCTCGCAAGTCTTCCGAAGTGTCACAGGAAGAGCGCATTTCCCTATGGGAGAAGCTCTATGCTGAACCCGGCTTCTCTAAGTGGCTAGGCACATTCTGCGATACTTACACTGACCGCGAAGCGAACAGACTATACTCTGAGTTTATGGCGAGCAAGATTCGAGAAAGAGTGCATGATCCCGTCGTGGCGGAGAGCCTGATCCCCAAGAACCATGGCTTCGGTACGCGGCGGGTGCCACTGGAGAGCGGATACTTTGAAGCATTCAATCAATCAAACGTTCACCTAGTCGATTTGCAAAAGACGCCCATCGAAAGGGTCACTGCGAATGGAATCCTCACTTCGGACAGCAAGGAACATGAGCTGGATATCCTGATTTATGCGACCGGCTTTGATGCAATCACTGGTGCTTTCAATGCAGTGGAGTGGCATGGAAAGAATGACCGACCGCTCATTGCCAGTAGTAACAGTGAAACAGGAAAGCGTGCCGTCTGGCTTGACCATCGGCCGTACACTTATCTTGGCCTGATGGCCCCTTCTTTCCCGAACATGTTCATGGTGCTTGGCCCACACCAACCTTTTGGAAATATTCCACGGAGTATTGAACACGCAGTGCGGGTTGTGAACCAGCTATTGCAGTTTTGTCACAATAAGGGCTACACTTTAGTTGAGGCAACCGAGGAAGCTGCAGACATGTGGACTGAGCATGTGGTCGAGTGTAGTAAGGGGGCATTATCGAACGAGATTGATAGTTGGATGACAGGAATCAACACAAACGTCCCAGGAAAGACAGTTAGGAGTGTGGCACGATATGGAGGCAGTGCCATTGAATATCGCAAACGATGCCAGCAGTCTAGAGCGGCTGGTTGGGAAGGGTTCAAATTTGCACGAGGTTGTTCGCTTTGAGTAGACTAGTTTCGCATAGGATATTATTGCACAGTATTTTCTTTAATGAGACCATGTCTGCTATGAATTTTCCTCTTTAATACTTTCCTCAATAATTCTAGAATGATTACGCTCTTAAATGTCGCCCTTAACGAGCCCTTTGTAATTACTGTTTGAACTGCAAAATAGGTCTAACTTTGTAGATAGTCGGACTATTAATTACACACACATCGGATTTCGTCTAGCGAAGCTCGTAATAATAATACCCTTGCAATCGATCAATGTTGCACAAATGCATAAATGAAGATCTAAGATGCGTAACTATGTTCTAATATGTTCAATTTGACATCATGATTCCAGTACATCAGCAAAGCCATCCGCCATCAACATTATAAACAGTTCCCGTCACAAAAGATGCCTCGTCGCTCAACAAATGCACAATCACAGTAGCTATCTCACTGGCCTCAGCCCGTCGCTTTTGCACCGTTGCTTGCAGACCGCGCTTCACATCCTCCGGGTTCTCTCCCTGAGACATAGGCGTGTTTACAGAGCCTTGAGTCGAGTTAGCACCATCATTATGAAGCAGCAAAAACAACAGAGTAGATATAGCCCTCACCCGGCGCAACACAATTGACTCTTATATGCTGATTTTCCTTCGCTGCCGTTCTCGTCAATCCAATCACAGCTGCTTTACTGGCGCAGTACGGAGCAACACCAGGGGAGCCCATCTGGCCAAAGGCGCTAGCCGCAGAAACCTATGGTTAGAATATTAGCAAATGTCTTTATCCATGGTACGCTCTGCAAACAGACGTACAATGCTACCACCGGCAGTCATTGCCTTCAACTGGGCCCTCAAGCAGAAAAAGACACCTCGTGTATTCACGGCAAAGTTGAAGTCCCAAGTATCATCGGTTTCTTCAGTAATTGGTTTGGCTGGTGTGATGACTCCGGCCATATTAACGGCACCATCAAGCTTACCCAACCTTTCGACTGTTGATTTGATCCACGAGTCAACTGACTGGCTGCTGCGCACATCGATCACGGTGTACATATGCTTATCGCTTCCGGTCAATGACTCGGTAGCCGCCTTGACTGCCGCTTCGTTAATATCAGCCAGCGAGATAATTGCTCCACGGGATGCGAGTAGCTTCGCTGTGGCAAGCCCCATGCCGGAGCTGCGCCGGTTATGGCGATCTGGTGCGAGTGGATGCGTCAGTGGCACATGCCGGAGTTGGTGGGTTCATTGATACGTACAACTTTGTTTTCGAAAGATGCCATATTGCTTTACCCAAACACTATAACAAGGGCTGTCTCTAATAGTAGTAAGAGGATTCAATATTCAGACTATCATTCACATCATCTACGGCCTTATCCAGAGTAATTTATTACAGACACTCCTCTTTCAAAATTCTCCATGGCGGGGCTACCCTGTCAACGGGGAAACCAACGCAGGTGTAGGTTTCCTTATTTCTAGACGCATGCTAGCTTATCTCGCAGTCTGGACTGGTGATGCTCTCTGGGAAGGTTTCCAGGAGTCATGTGGATCTAGACTTTGGCCCTAAGACGCAATAACCTTCCTAATCGTCCAGCTTCCCCACATGGCTTATCGCCCCCCGCTTGCAAGACACGACACGATATAACCAAGTCACACACTGAGCATTAGGAAGTTAACCTCGATTGAACACCTTCCACCCCCAGAATGGCCACGGCAACCGACGAGCAAAGCACACAAGCCCACCCCGCCCGAACACGGTCATTCGGGGGGTGCACCACGGTAACAATTGCCTCCCCCACTGTCCTTCTGCGTGGAACTGACAGACTGTGGTATACAGTGTCGAAGCCGACATGTGAAATGCGACGAAGGCCGCCCCACATGCGCCATGTGCCGGTATTTCGGGTTCGTGTGTGCGGGCTACGAGAAGGGCATCTTTTTTGACTTTGAGGGCTCGACGGACGAACGACGCTTCCGTCGGCCCTTGCTGACAGAAGCCGAACGAGAGCGTATGAGCCAATGGCTCGTGTCAAGCGTCCCGCCGGAGTCGGCCCTGCAGTTACTGACTCGCATCGACGATCTGTGCGAGAAGGCGGCTCCTTGCCGCGATCTTCAGGTGGATTGCGGGCCTTTCGGGGCGTTCAGATTGAGTCCATTGCCTTCCGCGCCGTCGCCGGATATGGTCTCAGAAGAAACACCGGATCCATCTGCCAGTAGCCCGCTAGAGGACGTGGTTAGGTTCGACGATGATTTCACAGTCCCAGAAGACCCCCCTTTAACACCGCGTACTCAAAAAATCATCGAGTCAATATTTGGCCCCTCGGAGCAGGCGCCCAGCACGACATCACCGGATACAGAAGACATGGCCATGAATCTTTGTCGCATTGATGCCGTGCTCAATAATGCACCTCTATCTGATTTCCAGGGATTTCCTATGACAGCAGAACAAGAACTGCTGCAGAGCGCTGACCTACCCCAAATACCGCCACCGAACCCCTGTTTCTCGTTGACGACGACCAGCAAAACCGTCCCCCAGGATGTGATGCTCCTACTAAAACACTACACAACAACAGTCATCAGCCTGATGACGCCCGTCCGCCACGCCAAAACACCATGGCACATCCTCTTCATCCCGCACGCCAAGACGTGTCTAGCAGCGCTCACGCTCGGCGAAGACCTCGACAACGCCAGCCTAACAGCGTTCTACGGCACGCTCGCAATCAGCGCCTTCAGCCTGGGCGGGCTTTCGCAGTCACAGATGTGGCTCGCCCAAGGCAACGCATACAAGCAGCAAGCGGTGAAACACGCCAGACTGATGCTGCGGACCGCGTACGACGTGCCCAAGGCAGCCAAGTACAAGTCCACGATGATCGCGCTCCTGGCCATGGTGTATGTGTCAATGTTCTCGGTCGACCGCGACCAAACGGAATATTTCTTCTTGGAAACGGAACGACTGATCCGGCTGCGAGGCCTCCAGCGGAAGAAATCCAGGAAGGTCCGACTCCTCCACCACTGCTATGCCTTCGAGCGGTTCTTCTACGAGAGTACCTTCACCGGCGGCTTGAACTCACGACAACGAAATTACTTCCGTCGGTCTATTGAGTCGAGCGGTCTGGCACAGTATAGTCGCGATGACCTTTCCTTCCGGCTGCGTGGCTGGGAGAATCTCGACCAAGAGATGCTGGAGGTGAAGAGTCAGGAAGATGGGGAAAATGATCTGCATCTCGAACGGCCCGGGATCTTCTCCGCAACGCTCTACCCCGAGATCTTCGGCGTCCCGGAGCCATGGGTCCTGCTGTTATCGTTGGTGATTCGACTCGGGAGGGAGAAGGACATCGCAGAGAGCCATGACCTGTCGAACCCTCTTACGCTGAAAGACTTTTCGAGCCGGGCGAAGGCAATCGAAAGACGGATTAATAACCTCGAGCGACCGACTCAGGCGCACGTTGATGAGCATGTGAGCAATATGCTCGATGCAATGTATGACGCTCTGTCTATCTATTTCTACCGCAGGGTGTATGATATGGAAGCCTCGATGCTCCAACAGAAGGTAATTGCCGTGCGGGACTGTTTGTCGCGCTGTGCAGATCCCAGTGTGCTGCATGCCTCCGCTGGGTTCATTTGGGCTGCGTTTATCGCCGCCTGTGAGGCTGAGGATGTGGAGCTGCAGATGTCGTTTGCGAAATGGTTCAAGGACTCTGCGCGGCGAAGTGGGTTATCCTCGTTCCGGGAGACATTGGCCCGGGTTGAGAGGATCTGGCGGGAGAAGCGTTGTGGGAATGGGATAAGTGCAACGTGGCTTAATTTGATGAAAATGGACGCTTCTTTTACGGTAGCATAGGAAGTCATAACAACAGCCAACCATGAATATAGCATTTGAATATTTTAATACCCATTCATTGATATATAGAAGAATAGCATCATAACTAACGCTGCGTATACCCCCCGTCTACAAAAAGCGCAGTCCCCGTAACAAACGAGCTCCTCCCCCCAGAAAGATACACCACGCCGTCAGCAATCTCCCTCGGCTCCCCCATGCGCTGCATCGGCACAGCAGTGGCCACCCTCTCCTGCATCGCCTGCAAAACCAATGGTGACTTGGTCGTCATCGGCGTCTCCGTATAGCCAGGACAAATGGCATTAATCCTCAGCCCATCCTTGGCATAATCCTCGGACGCCGTCCTGGTCAACCCAATAACAGCATGTTTCGTCGCCGTATAGGCAGTCGACAACGGGATGCCCGCGACGCCCTGAATGGACGAGAAATTCACAATCGACCCCCGCTGCAACGGCCGTCCATCAATACTCGACCGAATCGGTTCCTGGGTTAACATGACCCGCGCCGCGGCCCGCAGGACGAAGAACGTGCCCGTGAGATTGATGTCGAGGATGCGTTGCCAGTCGGCCGTTTCGGCGAATGCCGCGCCTCCCTGATGCTTCATTGCGATTCCGGCCGCGTTGACCACGTAGTCGAGTCGGCCGAAGGTCTGCGCTGCGCTTTGGATCACTTCGTTTACCCGGTTTTCGTCGGTAACGTTGACCGGGTAGATTTCCACGCGGCAGCGGGGTGTCTTATCCGGGCTGAGTTGGGCGTTGATTTCGGCTTGCACGGCTTCTAGCGCTGTTTTGTCCAGGTCGAGGAGGGCGATGCCGCTGGCGCCGTCGCGCGCGAATGTGTTGGCGCAGGCGCGGCCGATGCCGGATGCCGCGCCGGTTATTAGGCTATGCCGGGGACGTCCATTATGGAGGGTTTGAGTGTAGATGTTATTATGTTGGTATTTTAATGGGTTTGAAAAGAAATTGGGGACTTCTGTAGGTATTAGAGTGGCATGGCAGATAAATGAAGGTCAAATAGCCCTCGTCTGCGGGGCTCAGGGAAACACCTTCCTTATAATCGAATATCGAAGCCACGGTTTTCCTAAGATATCCCTATCAGCATAAACTTTCCTCAAATGATTCGCATCTACTGCGGGGTGATCCACATGAGTCTGTGCCAACCTTATTTGATCGTCTCTGCTGATACGAGCTTAGGTTCGGAAGGCCTCCGCTGCGTTGACTTGCCTGTCTGGATGCCAAGTAATGCGGGGGTTGGCCTCGACTGGACAACTATCATGCATACAAAATGTACTTTCTTCTCGGAAATTTTACGTCAGGACACACTGATGACTGTGGGGAGATGCGTGTTGTAAGATTTAACACCAATAGATGAGCAGAGAGAAGAGCTAGTAGCCCTAGTTATAGTACACATTGAAGTGGAGATCAGATGTTGGCGATTATACCTGTGGTTGCTGATATCGATATGCTCTGCGCCAGCGCTTGCTTACTTTAGTCGAAGAAACGGATGCTCGGCCAATTCACGCGCAGTCTTCCTCTCCTCCGGGACCCAGGCAAGCATGGATTTCACGAAGGACAAGAAGCTTTCTCTTTCCTTCTCTTCTAGGGAGGGGAGTGTATCTGCCAGGTTTCTGTATGGAATCAGGTCCTTGTGTAAGAACTCTCCTATGAGCTTGTTAGCAAGGCCCATAAACTGGCTCCATCCAGGCTATGCAATTACCATCACTATTAAAGAACGGACCCCCAAAGAATTGATCACAGCTTTTGTAGACGGCACCGTCCGCCGTTGTGATAGGATGAGGCCATTGGTAGTCGAGCATCCAGCGATATCTTGCGATCAGGTCTTGGGGTGGGGGACCGAGGAAGGCTATCATTTCTGCGAGATGCGCTTTTGCCTGGTATTGGCCTTGCTCATCATGCACTTGACTGAATAATTCCTTGCCCTCAATCAGATCCCATAACTGATATTGTATTAGTTATTTGGCAAAGAGCAGTAGGGCGCGAACGCACAATAACACCCAAATTCCATATATCCGTGCTCATCCTCCAACCGCAACCAAGGATTACCTCTGGCGCGCGATAGTGCTCTGGCTGGATAGGATACATACCCCAGCTATCATCATCGAGCCTTGTACAGTGTCCAAAATCAACAATCTGTGGTATAATGTTTCTGAGTTGTCTCAGGGGCCCAAAATCGTTGTGGCGCCGATATACTGGTCGACCTATGGAGTCTATTTTATATTCCATTGGTTGATCGAATTGGTCGTTCATAAAGTCAGCCATCACCGTTGGATCTTCAAAGGAGATCATAATATTCTCAAGCTTCAGATCTACGTGACATATAAGCCTGACTTGCATTGCTTGATGGACCGACCAGGGGTAGAATTACACACCCGTATGTACTGTCTTGCATTCCGTATGAAGGTAATCGATACCCACAAGAAGAATGTAAATATAGGCCTTGATAATCGGAAGAGGGATCATCTCATCCTTGAAGCGCCTCTGAAAAAGCCAAAGGGGCTCCCTCATGGGCTCATATGCGAAACACACATGTCTTCCTTCTGGACCAGTAATCTCGAAGGATTCCGAAGATGTTCGGAGAACTGCACGTCCACGATGGGATGACTCTGTCTCGGCGATGTACTGCTCAGTTTCGCGTGCGACGTCAGCTGCGTGTGAGTTGGTATTGGCTATCTTCAGTGCTACAACGCCCTCCGGTTCATCCTCATTTCTAAAGTAGTTTTAGCAATTTTGCATCTATATAACAAATAAGAGTGACGATACCCCCGCATATCACGAGCAAACCATACGGTAGAGGTGGTACCCCAGCCAACCTTGACGAGGATCTGATAACGATCGGCGAGTACCTCACCAGGCTTCGCGGGATAGAAGTTCGTGGGGCTATATCCTGGACATCTTTCTTCGTCCACGGGCTCGTTTGGGGGCAAAAGAGGCCCGGGATGGGGGATTGGGAAAGGCTTTCTGCGAAGTGAGGAAAGTGAACGCGTCAGTAAGCGTCTGGTTGGGTTCATTTTACGTGGCGTTTCGACGCGGTTCTTCGTGAAAGAATATCTCGCCCGCTCATCTAGTGGTAGTATTTCCACTAACTCAGTTTTAAAAGGTCAAGATATCAAAAGCTACGGTGAGGCAGAGATGCAGGAACCAGGCGTAGGGGTGTACACAACAAGGAGGCTTGGCAAGTGTAGAACAGCGGCCCATGCCACTAAAGCAGCAGGCGTTTTTAATATCCAAGCAAACGAACATCGTATAAAAGCACCCCATAATTGTTGTCTGGATTAAATTTGTATTCGATTTAAAGTGGCTCATCAAGCATGGGTCAGCCTCAGGAATATATTGGTCCAGAATCAAACCACATCCGCCATAGACCTTATGCCAGGGCTCGAAGCTTCCACCTGTCTAGTCGAGCTTGCCTTGAGGACATTGCAATGGAAAAATTATGGTGACACTTTCGTAGATACTGTCCCGGAGGATTTTGGAATTAAAACCTTGCAAGGGAAATAAAATCAAATGATATAAGGAAATTTGCGGAGTACCGCCAGACTCTCAAGTTTTATACCCAAACACTGCTGAGAACTTGTATTCGAGTCTTGACCCAGACCAGCTACTGGCCGTGTCCCCGACCATTCAATAGTTGGGGTTTTCTTAGCGCTAATAACACAACAACATGCTAAGACTTTCCAAAGCTTTGGCTTAACCAGGAGTGGCGAAGCGCCTCTATCGCAGTGATCCTCCTTCTCGGGTCTAGACTTGTCATCTTACCCACCAGATCTCTGAGACTAGGCTCCACATATTCCCAGTCCTTGAAAGGCTGTCTGAGATTGCCCGCGGTAAAACTGCTGGCGAGAGTTACCAAACGATCATAGAATGAATTTTCTTTCCCTATATGCTCGAGAAGCCCAGTAAGACCGTCTTCATCCCCAAAGTAAGAGATATGTCGGCATAGGGATATAGCGCCACGAGTCTTCCGCCTCAAGCTGGTCATCATTGACGCAAAAGGCCATCTCATTGGCCATGAAGTAGATCATCTAAAGCGTGTATTAGCAACTTCCTGGAATAACAAGGTTGATGGGAAGAATAGACATACCACAATTGCAAGAGAAAATACATCTGATGCCTGGTTCTGGCGTGATCGGCACCAGCTTTCAGGCTTCTCCAGATTGCATTCCCACAAAGGGGGCCCCTTAGCCACTTCCCATGTGGCACAATGACTGTAACTTTGAGATCTGAGATTTTCACCCCTTTGATATTTATATCACCCTCGGCACTTTCCTCAAAAGTCAACAGAATATTGTCGGGTTTTATGTCCATTAACGGTCAGTACTGCAACAAAAACAGCCTACTAGAGCGCTCCAACTTTCCATTGTGGAGGATATTCCTATCATGCATATCAGCTATGCCATGCAGTGCGCGTCGGAGAATGTCTCTCCTGGTTTCTTTAGATAGACGTTTCTGACTCAGACGGAGCAAGTCTCCAGCCAAGAAAGGGTAAATGAACAACTCGAGCTGTTGCACAGTATCGACTACCGGTCTGACGTTCGAGCAAGAAGGTAGTTGCTTCTGTAAATCCAGTTGGTTGGTACTGGAACTCGCCTGGAATCATATGTTTTACGATTTAGCCCCTTCAGCACTTTTCGTCATCATGGCGGTTAGCATTGATACGCAGGAGCCTATAGTCAATTCAACATACCTTGCACGATATACGGATAGTAGAGGCTTTCTCCGCTCGCTAAGGGTTTCTTCAATCCTATAACTCTGCCCAGTCTCACTCTTGAGCACTATGCCCAGAATAAGGGGCTCTTTGGCACAAGGCGACATGGTTGACATCCCGTATTTTTGAACGAATTGCCGCATGAATAATGGACCACGGGGCATTGATGGTATAATTCTGGGGACGAACGATATATGCATCTGTAGGTAAGTCGGGAAGTTCGGCGGACAATAAATGGCAAGTAACATAGGGGTTGATTAAGATATCGGATAAAAGGTCACTGATTCACTGGTAATCACAGCAGAAATACACACTTGTAAAAACAGGGGTCTTGGCGAGAAGTGGCGCAAATCACTGCAGCGGCGCAGCCCAGAGGTGACAGTGAAGGACAAAGCTTCGTATATTGATTTCAAAGACAACATTTATGTGCTTTTAGACATATTTATGTAGAAAAATAATCATCATCTATCCGATTTACTAGGGGACCGTAAATCAAGCTATATAGTGTTTGTACAGCGGTTGTATCGCAGACTATATATAGTATGTTATGCTTGGCTATACTCAAGAGACTCGGAATCTTGAACGTATATTCTACCTACATATGTGTTACAAGTTGAAATTATCATAGTCGTCCGATTTATTTAGAAGATAACAATTGTCGAAGAATAACATTTCCTTGGTATAGAAGTGAATAAGCATTTCAGATGAAACTATAGAGCTTAACCAATGCCAAGCAAGCTTCGGATAGATAATTCTAACGAGTACTGAGTATTTGGAAACATCTCCCAGATCAGTCATAAAGCTTTATGCATTCTCGGCAGCAACTAAATCTCGAATTCGTATCGGCACTTTTTCATTCCAAAACTCCCGTGAAGACATTTCAGGAAATTGGACACGCGACCGGGCGAACAAGCCAGATCCATGGGTTGTGCACGTGACTTGGATGGATCCGCTCGGTCCAATCACCTGCCAACCTCAGCTGATCGCCTTCCTCTTTGGGCGCCAGCGGATGATCCCCCGCAGGCCAGTGAGCGGCCATCCATTGACAACGTGCGGAGATGCCGTCGTCAAGTTCAAGTTACATTGAGATTGTCATGTACCTTGTAGGACGGAAGAACCCGATACTACTCCGGAGTACTATCGATGAAGTCGCATGGGCCATGCAGGGAAGGTCTTTGACCGAGCCAATGCTCGCCTATCCCCGCCTTTACAATTCTGGATGGCTCATATGTAAGGGCATCCTTCATGCATAAATAGGAGACAGGTCCGACTCCGGTCTTCCTTTCTCTCCTCCCTCAACTCTTGTGAGAGGAAGTCACATACCAATCAATTGTACGAAGTATTGTTCCTTCTTTTACCGAGGCAATAGAGCAATAGGCATCATGTTTACCAGGCAATCCCTCGTGGCCCTCATCGGGGGTCTATCTCTCGCCGCCGCTCAGACATCTTCGGAGCCCTACCCCTCATTAGAAGAAATTAGAGCTGCCCAGGCGACGGTTCTGCCCCATTCTCCCGTTTCTAATGTCAAGGGTCTTGCATTCAACCGTTTTGTCAACATTTGGCTGGAAAACACGGTAAGTTCGTGCTTGCGGACAACCCAGACACGTGGCCGGGAATCGTTCTGACTCTAATTCCAGGACTTTGAGTCTGCCGCAAATGATCCTCATCTCTCCAAGCTTGCCGAGAAGGGTCTTCTTCTCACAAACTACTGGGCAGTCACACATCCTTCGGAGCCCAACTACTGCGCTTCTGCCGGAGGTGACACCTTTGGCATGGACAGTGGTGACTTTAATCAAGTGCCTGCCAATGTGTCCTCCATTGCTGATATGTTCGATGTGAAAAATATTGCCTGGGGCGAGTACCAGGAGCACCTACCTTATCCAGGCTACCAGGGGAAAAACTTTTCCAATCAAGAGACGGGTGCCAATGACTACGTCCGAAAGCATAACCCCATGGTCTTGTACGACTCGGTGACTAAGGACGCTACTCGCCTACGTCAGATCAAGAATTTCACCACGTTCTATGATGACCTGAAGAATGAACGTTTACCTCAATACAGCTTTGTCACCCCAAACATGACCAATGACGCCCATGACACCAATATCACCTTTTCTGGCTCTTGGACTTGGGGTTTTCTTTCCGAGCTTCTGGAAAATGAGTACTTCACCAAGGATACGCTTATTCTCCTGACCTTCGACGAGAGTGATACCTATGAGATTGAAAACAGGATCTACAGTTTCTTCCTTGGAGGTGCTGTTCCAGAGAACCTTCGGGGCAAGCAGGATGACACTTTCTACACTCACTACTCCATCATTGCCTCCCTTTCGGCCAACTGGGGTCTCCCATCGCTGGGTCGCTGGGATTGCGGAGCCAACCTGCTCAGCTGGCTGGCTGAGAAGACCGGATACGTCAACTGGGAGGTTGAGACCGGCAATTTACTGCAGAACGAGACATACCCAGGTCCGCTATCATCTGGAGAATACAGCACTTTCGATCCGGAGTGGCCTGTCCCATTGACCAAGGGAAGCTGCTCTGCTGGCCATGGCATATTGCCCATTGTCCAGCAGACGTGGAAGGATCTTCCTGCCACCTATAACTACACCAGCCCTATCCCGTATGACTCTGTCAGCGGGAACAATGTCGGTGTTAAGTATAGCAGGAAGCTGGTAGGTTGCTCCCCTCGCTGACATTTTGGACTTTCATCTCCTTGTGCATTTTGCTAATGTAATTCTTATCAATAGAAGAACGGAAAGACCGAGTCTGGTATCACTGAGTAAATAGTACTCCTATGGAAGTTGTGTTCACCTTGCGCATATGGAATGTAAATGTCTGATTGACGATATATCATTATTGCAGCAGGTTGTTAGTGCTGCCACAACTACCAGTTCAATGAAAGAGCATTCTTCCGACCAGGCACGACTAGTAGAAATCGTAGGCGCATAAGATCGTAGATGCGCGATGACCTTATCTTATCGGAACCCCACAAATTCAATGGCCCGGCGATTCGTCCGGCGAGTCTGGGCCAATCGTAGGGACTCCACCCACTCCACACGGTCTTATCTTGGCCACATAAGGTATTACCGTGACTGACTGAGTCCGGTTTTACCGTCTGCTGTTCTTCTCTCCGTTGACTCCTATCCGAGTCATAGTCCACGCGAACCCACCCCTCTCATTTCACCATCATGCCACCCAATAAACGGCTCCGGACAGAGCCGATTGTCCGTGTCAGGACGGGCTGTTACACTTGCAGACGTCGAAAGAAAAAGTGCGACGAAGTTCGACCATCGTGTGGAGGATGCGTGCGGAACAAGCTCAATTGTGAATGGCCGGTCAACATACCCGCCAGCGCGACAAGGCCAAATAGCTCAAATACTTTCAGTCAACAAGCTGTACCGGACCAGCCGGGAAGTCCATGCACAGTACGAACACAGCGTGACTCGTCGGGGTCACCGAGTTCACCAGCCGGATCGGCGGTGTCCCCATCCGCGCTTTTGAACGGCTTCGAGGCTGCGGAGGCATTCTCACCACCGATGGATGAACAAGCTCTTCTAGTTCCAATGGGCTATTCTCATGCTACTCCGCGAAGCTCCATCTCGGGGCCGGACTCGCCCACATCGATGAGCGTTGGGAACTTTATGCCCCGCAGCCTATCCATGCTTCCGGGCTATAGCCCTGAATCCTTTCAGCTGCTGAGCCATTATCTCGCAACAACGGCCGATGTCATGGCCAACGGCTCGACTCCCGTCAACCCTTTTCTGGTTCAGATCGTTCCGCTGGCATTCAGCAGTGACCTGCTTCTGCAACTCGTTCTCACACAGAGTGCGGCACACCGGGCGTTTCGGTGCCGCAACGACGCCGACGAGGTAGCTCAGAGTCATTACACCAAAGCTTTGCAGCTTTTTCGGAAAGGGGTTACCGAGTTTATCGATGGCAAAGAGTCCAACCCGCTAATGCTGACGGTTGGGGCTCTTGTGATGTGTTTCACCGAGGTACTGTTCCCATTACGTAAAGAAAACTAGTAGGCAGCTAACACTGTGATAGACAGCCAAGGGAGACATGAACGGGACAATCTTTGATCATCTATCAGCCGCAAATTCACTGCTAACACGACTCCTGTCTCTGAGTGACGCCGCCGTGCCGAAGGACCTAAAAGACTTTGTTATTGAATATTACACATACACCGCCGCCGTGAGCATGATCTCCATCGATGCGCGGGTCAGCCATCAGCTGCTTCTCAACTTCGACTTGGAACAGAAAGCTCGTCAGCTCCTTGAGTCGGAGTATGTGGGAAATCTCTGCGGCTGCTGGCTAGAGTTACTGCTCATGATCCCGTGCATCTTTGATCTGGGCCGCCAGTGGATGATGCTCGACGGCCAACCGACCATGCCAACAGCCGATGACATTGCCATGTTTGGGTCCTTGCAGTCCCAGATCATGCGATGGAATCCATTTTCCTTCGTCACTCCTGAGGTCTTTTTGGCCGGTCGGGTCTTTCAACAGGCCATGTTACTCTATCTATACACCTGTCTGGGGTCGTTCTCCCGAACAGAGGATGGCATGCATCAGGGTTTGATCAACACGGCGATTACGGAGGCAATGTCTTATCTGAACCAGCTATCGGCGACTGCTCGCATTAACTCTGGTCTCTGCTGGCCGATCGCGGTGGTCGGATCCTGCTTATATGACATAGAACAGCAGGACCAACTACGACAACGGCTGACTACAATGGTAAGCACATTCGGTCTTGGAAACATGCAACGGACTCTTCTACTGCTGGAAAACATGTGGCAAATGCCTCTTGACGAGGCAGGCCCGTGGAATATTTGCCGGGCAATGCAGCAACATCAAATCTGGATCTCGTTCGCATGAGGGTTGATTAAAAGGCTCTATTCATACAATACATCATGATTCATGAACTCCCGACCGAATTGCGGTCTCTCTCCGTTTATATCTATTGGCCCAGGTTCTTGGGAGCCTCGGTGGCAGGGCCCTCCGGAGTCACATAAGCCTTCGTCAGACCACCATCGACGACAAAGTCAGCGGCGTTCACGAAGCTGCTTTCATCGCTCGCCAGGAAGATGACCGCATGGGCCTGTTCAATGGCTTCACCGAACCGGCCACTGGGGAAGTGAACCTCGCGACGGAAACGCTTCTCCTTATCATCGCCCAGCCAGTCTTGCAAAAGTGGCGTGCTAAACGCTGTTAGCTCAAACCCGCACATAGTAAACCAGGAGGAACATACTTAAGCGGAGCAGGGCACAAAGAGTTAAAGCGGAAGCCTCCCGGGCGTGCACAATAGCCAACTCTCTAGTCATCGCCAACACGGCACCCTTACTAGCAGTATATGCCAGCTGAGGAGTCGCAGCACCCACAAGCGCAACCATGCTCGCCGTGTTGATCACGCTACCCTTCTTCTTACCGTGCTTCCGGAGGCTCTTCACCGCATGCTTGCTTCCGTACCACACACCCTTGACATTAATGTTCATTGTCATGTCCCAGATCGCCTCTGGTGTCTCCTCGGAGTCTCCATCCTTGGGGTGCATGATTCCGGCATTGTTGAACATCACGTCCAGGCCGCCCCAGGCGTCGAGATGTGCCACCGCCGCCTCGACTTCGGATTCCTTCGAGACGTCGACCACGCGGTACTCGACCTTGCCGTCGCGCTGGGGGACGACCTCGTTTACTTTCGCGAGGGCCTTCTCGAGGCCCGGTCCGCTGATATCGGTCATGAGGACGGAGGCACCTTCGCGGAGCATGAGGATCGTGGTTTCGAGACCGATGCCTCTGCAGGGCAGTCCTAATTAGCAACGGCGCTATCTATTTTTCGGAAATTGTACTTACCCAGCAGCACCGGTAACGATGGCATTCTTTCCAGCTAATCTTCCAACCATTGTGTTTTCTTTGGATGTATAATTTGTTGAAAAGTAGATAATCAAGCTTCTCAAATCAATGAACGATATACGCAGTTAGCAGATAGTTACTTCACAAAAAAAAGAACAGAAAACCCCTTTTATAAGTTCACCCCGCATCTCGACGATACCCAGCAATGCGGTGAGCAGCACAAAGTCCGCTCCACACCGCGGTTACCTATCGACATTCCATTACCTACCATAGAACACGATCCACAACAGGCTACTTCCTCATTGCCTCGGTTGCGATAAGGCAGCGATAAGCGTGGGGCTGCTGCTGCCCCTCGCGCGGTCCCGGACCGCGCTCAAGCAGATTACTGGATTCGGTTTAGATTGCATTCCAGAGCAGAGTCCATTGTTGGGGATGCTCGTGCGGCACGTCGCATCGTATGCGACGGGTGCTTATTGGTGCGCATTATGGATTTTTCTTCTGCGAGGGGGTTTGAAATCTCGGGGCGAGTGAAACGTGTCCATGGATTGGTGCGGGGCTGTTTGGTTGGAGTGTATCTTGTCTTTACCGCTGCTCAGTAGCTCACATCTCGCAGTCCCTAATAGCCTATACTGTATAGGTACTATCTGCATCTAGGTGTTGGTGCATAAACCCTATGTGGTGAGAACAGGGATGACAGTCTCGATGCATTTATGTCTTCATCATCACCTGCTAGATCGTGCCTCCTCTACTCTTAAGTTACAGCACGTCCACTAGACCACATATCCAGCTTACCAAAGTGTTTTCGATGGATAGTACGGTAGGTCGGGGTATATATTAATCTATCAATAAGATTGCTTGGAACATATTGTTTGCGTTATCACCTAGTTAAATATATAAACTTGACTAAGCCAACCACTGCTCTAGTCATCCGGAAGTATAACCATGCCAGTCAAGTGTAAAAGGATGTCCCCAAATTTGGCCCTGGCTTGGGTCTGGTGACGCAGTAGCATTAGCTACATTGCATGTATGACCCCCTCGCATCGCATTATACTGACTTATGAGTGTTGACCATTGAGATCAAGGACTAAAAGTCGGTGTGGGAACCTTCTCTGGGGTAGAGTTTATATTAACTCAATCCTCTGTGTTTCTCTGATTTGAGAATGGTGATAGTTCGATAGATAGAAGGAGAAGAACAAGAGACTAATAGAAATTTCAGAGATCATGCTCTATTTGAACCCTGCCCAGAAATTTGAGTAGGTTTGGGTACTTTCTCCACATATTATAGTGCAGCACATATCACGATAAATAGTACAACACTATACCCACTGGACAAAGCCCAGCATATGGTCAATCAGGGTCTCTATTCCTGCAGTCATGACATCACCTTCAATATAAAGATTGAAGACCAAGCTAAGATCTCCGGAGCCACTGCAGTACCGATAAAGTCGGCAAGCTACCGCGCCGATCCCATTGGCACAGCCACTGAAACAAATCTCTGTCAGTAACAGGCACCTATCATTAGGCAGCTGAGGTTTGAACTTTGAAGCAATGAATATCAATACACAGCTGCCTTGTGGGCCAGCCATGACGCGTTGCGCGCGTCGATCGATCAAATTCGGCAGTGTTGTGGCGGTGCTGTGGCGGGAGCTGGGACTCATATGCTGACGTAACGCAAGGCCTAACGAACTATAAAAAAAATAGTTATCCTAATTAGGATTGAATGAGGATTTTTCTTCAGCTCTCATTCAAATTCATCGTGGGTTTCCTGAAAGATGAATTTATGCGATGTCTGCCAAACCATTGATATCCGAGACCTCTTGCAGGGTTTCCACAACTCGCAAGCCTTCTCGGTGAACGTCTCAACCAGCCCAGACCCATATCTCTCCTCCACTCCGCACTTTCAGTCTCACCACACCAGCGTCACGGCTCTTCAAAATGCCATTGAAGCTGGTTGTGAGTTCTGTGACATGATCTGGGCACATTGTAGAATACGATTTTGCGACCATTCACCTTATGGTGGCGATAAATGCCTGTGTGAGAAATATCGCGGGCCGTTTCGCTTGGCCATCTACCAAGGGGTCTATGATTCTTACGCCCAGTTGATGGTTGTAGCTATGTCCGACAATGATAAGCGTGGGCGCCCGGACGGAACGTGGGTTGCTCAGTTGGATATATGTATTGCAAAGGGTAGGTATCCGCTCGATGGCTGCGAGACTTAGTGGTGCTAATGTTGAATAGACGCAGAGATCCCGGAAGGGGACACATATCTCCTTGAACGTCTGGCCCGGAATGAAATGCCCGCGGATCTGCGCTCCGAGACGTGTCTCTCTCTGGCGGCTGACTGGCTGGATAAGTGCTCGCGGGAGCATGCAGAGTGCGATACAGACAAAGACCAACCAGCCCTTCTTCCTACACGCGTCATCGATGTTGGGGACTCGCTCACACCGCCTCATTTACATGTCAGTGAGAACGACGAAACCGGGAAATGGGTGGCATTGAGCTATTGCGGGGGCAGGGACTCAGGCTTCACTCTCAACGCTTCATCTTTTAATAATCTTCGCAGTGGACAGCCTCTGTCAGACTTCCCATCCACTCTACAGGATACTGTCCTCGTGACAAGAGCACTAGGAGTTCGCTACTTATGGATCGACTCCCTCTGCATTTTTCAAGATGATACCAACGACTTGGCAGTCGAAGCTTCGAGAACGAGCCGCGCTTTTAGCAATGCGGCTGTCACCATTGCCGCTACGAGCACGGAAACGGTGAACGACGGGTTTCTGGATAAACGGGAACCGCATTATAACTGCTCCTTCCCTTGGCGTCGAGAGGATCACCCTGATAGCGTCAAGACATACCCAGTCATCTTTCGAAGCGGCAGAAGTCCGGTCAACAAGGCCCGGTCGAGGGATTCGCATTGGGCCACCAGCGGCCGGACGCTCCAGGAGGAGCTTCTGTCGAAACGACTCTTGTATTACACGAAAAGAGAGATGATCTGGGAATGCCGCGCTGGGACAGCTACTGAGCCAGCAGAGGAACCCACACCTTGTTCCACCTTGTTCTCAAAAGTCAAACACCTTCCAACTGGTTCAGGGAAACCCGAAGACTCCACAAAATCTGCGGCAGCTACGCACGAAGTTTGGTACGAGCTGCTGCAAGAATATGCAACACGGCATCTCACATCCGAGGATGACTATTTGCCGGCGATCGGTGCAATAGCCGAGTCCTTCCACACTCAGTTGAAAGAACAGTATTGCGCAGGATTGTGGAGGGGCGATCTTCTATTTGGCTTGCTATGGGGCCTTCACTGTAGCAGCGGTGGCTCAGGACCACCCGGTAAAATTCTTCGACGCGCCATGCTTCGATTCTTCGGCTACGACGACAAACATCCTAGACTACCTGCTAGGACAATACCGACTGGTGTTTCCAAAAATCGCGGGCCGTCATGGAGCTGGGTAGGAGCCGACACGTTTGACGGTTTAACGTGGCCCTCGCAAAGTGGTGATACCCTCAACTACCTGGCAAAGGTCGTTGGTGTTGAGGTTCGCGACAAGCTTCACGACGACTTTGGCCCCGTCGAAGGCGCGGTACTAACCCTGGATGCACCCTATCGACACCTCCATTTGAGACTCGGTGGCTATTCGAAGTCCCATTGGAACCCTGTGAATGTGGTACGGAGGGTCCTGACACGACTCAGTCCGTTGGCAAGGACGAGGAAGTTAGCACAGATCGCCCTGATGAGGCCTGACTACCTCGCATCGACGACAACCGGCGGCTCTGTCAATGTTTCAAGCAGCAGCACGGAGTTCACACTAGTCCAACTTGCTAAAACACATATAGGGTCTCAGCCAGTTCTCTATCTTCTCCTTTTACAGCGACTGAAGAGAGAGAAAGCCAACAGTGGGGGGCCACAACGTTATCGCAGAGTTGGGCTGCTGCGGCTTATGCCTTATAAGCACGACAATGATAACTACATAGGGGAAGATATGACGGATCTCCTAGAGGGTGCAGCGTATCGTGAAGTGACCAAAAAGGAGTGGCCTGTTGGGACCTTTGTGATCGACTGAGTGTGATGAGAGCTCTGATATATCGTACCAAAGTTCATCGCACAAGTTTACATTTCTCTTACTTTTTGCTGGGCTGTGTTTCGAGTGGTCATCTACTATACCCAAGTTATATAAAACAAAGGCCTATGTTCTTCTATCCCTTCTCCAAGATTATCTAAAGAGCTTCACGTAGATCCTAAGGAGGCCAGTGTTGTCTACTACCTAACTAATTGAAACTACAGTATTCGATTTACTCGTACTATAATATACTAGTAGGACTTGCTCCATTCGAAGGCCTCAAATGACCCTAGGGCCTTACGGACCAAGTTGAGCCGATTTCCTTCTGCTGATGTATTCTTGTGTCATATTAGATCTTTTTTGCCTGTAATACTGCGATTGTTTAGACATCAAATTATTATACAAAATTGTTTAACAAGAGACTGCAACTATTTCGTCGTGAAGTGTATATAATCAATTTCCATATCCTCAGAAAACACAAGATATACATGTCTTATTTCTATCAAGCTTATATCCCGGTTGCGCAGTATACTTATATTTCTCAGCAAAGCTCCAAGCTCTATCTCAATAATTTCAATGCCCAGCAGCATGATCCATTGCGGAGAGAGCAGCTAAACACATTTCTTTCGTTATCTGTTCTGATTCTGGGTATTCAGCGAGTTGTGCAAGTCTCGTCCTCCAGAATTCCCATCGTGGCATGCAATAACCTGGATCTCCCTTCCAGAGCTGCCCGCGGACTTCACTATCACGGCATTCCCCTGCTTGGCTGGCTTTGTAGATCTTGGAACCGCATAACTTGAACCATTTCGCGGCAGTAGGGACCAGGCTCATGATGGAAGCTTGAGCTTTCCCCTCATCATTTTCCAAACACAGCGAGATGGTGACCAGAGCACGGGATAGACCATCGAGGAGCTCTTCATTGTCTAGATAAACCATGAGTCCATTCAAGTTGATCCAGCGGCCTAACCGTTCATCATCCGGTCCGGATTCGAGGGGGTTGAAACCTATACCGGTCAGCCAGTTCTTTCACGATGTCGGAGTATGGTGGAGTAATAGAATGGGGAAAGCGCACTATTCCATTCTTCAGACAGATACATGGAGAAGTGAGGCAGATCTCGCCAAGCAGGAGTACCATCTCCCAGCACAGCAGTGCTTGGAAGTTGGCGAAGGGCTTTGAGAAGGTTGACAAAGCGCTGCATAGGAATCTCGTCGTGGTCGAGCTGACAGGCGACTTTGATCATCAAGTCCCAGAACTCAAAGAGAAAACTCTCGGGGCTTTCTTTATCAGATCCTTCGGGGCGATTGGCTGGAAAAAGGCGGTTGATTTGCTCTGCTGCTTGGCCTGGTGCGATGTCCGAAGTGGGTGGAAGATAGGTGATGAGAATCTCGAAAAGCTTGTCTTCGATATCCCACTCTCCTGGTATTCCTTCCCGTTGGAGGTTAAGTGGGTTTTCTGGGGCCATTCTTGATAACTGGTGGGGTTTTCTGGAGATATTTGTCGGAGGTTATATGCGCGAGTAGATTATAAAATTGAGGAGAGTGCTTAGGTATATATAAGTAGGGCCACCCCACTTATCTCTATTACACTAGTATTTTACAGTTAAATACAGTTGTTCTAGCTAGAATAGGCTTTCCAAGGAATAGATTAACTACAGTGCTAACTAATTTAGCCCTTCCGAATTTCATGTGCTCAAACCCTCTTAAGCAACCTCCACTCCATTCTGCAACCCTAGATAGTCTAGATATAATTTAGAATACAGCTCAGCCACAATACATGAAAGTAATACCGACTAATCCAATGCCTCCCCCAATACTTAGTGTTACATCATCCAACCTACTTGCACTCGGCGAAGAATCTATCCTCCTTCGTCTTCGCGGTAGTGTACTTCTTATGGCACATCACTCCGCAGAGGTCGCCCCCATTCTTCCGGGTGACGATTCGGCAAGCACCTGGCTCGGGCCTGGGCTTGGCTTGCTTGTAGTTGTAAACCTCCTTCTTTGCCTTTCCCTTGGCATCAAGCATGATGGGGAACTCAAGGAGCTTGGGCTGAGCACCACCCGCCGGGTTGCAACGTGGGTTGCCCCATGTAATACCATCCAAGTTCATGAATTCATGGGGGTATTTCCAAGTGGCGGGGTGTGGAACGAGCGGATAGAGCCAGTCGCGAACAGCAGGGGAGATTAAAACTGATTTGCCGTCCACAGTGCACTTGAGATCCTGAGGCAAATTGTTTAATATGTTGTCCATGAACGGGTTAGAGATAGTAGTTACATACTGCGGCACGCTCTTCATGAGTAATCTCCACTGGGGTGGCAAGAGCGACTCCAGCGAGGAGCGCAAAAAGGGCGTGGGCTTTGATAAGAACCATTTTGGAAGGACAGATTCAGATGGTAGTGGTAAGGAAGTAAGTATCTGAGGAATGAAGTCTGCTCATTCATGACTTCCTGCGTCCTCTGGCCTGTATTTATAGCCATTGCCGATGTCGAACATGCACCTCCCTAGATCGCTGTAGTGATATTAATTCGTGCTATATTGGTCTTGTGTGAGGCATATCCTCGAGGCTGGAATCTGCAGCTGCGTGGTATGTTACAATCGCGGCACGTTTCTTACACTTTGGCCCATATACTCGACCCACTGGTCATCTTTTGGGCCAATTGATCATTTCTCGTATGATCGTTGCTTTTGGCAGGATTCATGGCACTCCTTTCGACTGGGGTAATACCACCACGGGTGCCTGCAGTAGAGTTTGTTTCTCTGAAAATCGCATCTTGTTTTGGGAGGTTACATTCCTATACATGGTTCTAAAACAACGGATAGACAACGACGGTCCGTCGGCTGCTGCCGATGCTTCGGTTGGCTGCCGAATTCTAGGGTTAGCGGCAGCTTGTGCATAGCGTCGGCTTTGCCGATACAGTATTCTAGTGAGATGGAACAACAGATAGAGTTCTAGAAGGATTTACTTTGGCCCCCAGTTGGGGGATTGTCTCTGCCGATAAGACAACAATTATACGTACAGCCGTAAGCAGAGGTAGTAGGCCATTGTTGGTCTTTGGTAATTGACTATCTACGGCCAAAGATAGATAGAAGTTAAGATAGAAGGTAGAGGGGATATCCAGTTATTATCATGTGGTACATATGCAGTATGAATTCATAGTAATAGCTATACGTGTACTTGCTGCGGGACGGATGCGTTCAGCTGAAATTGCTTGCAAATCTGCAATACGAGGCAGGATCAGATCCTTGTTAATACTTTGAAACTGTCTACAGACTCTCCCGGTATTGTAGCAGATCATCCCATTATTGAGGCCCGGCCCAAGCCTCTCATGCTGGGTGCCTCCAGGTTTTCCCCTGAACCATGCGTTAGCGACATTCAGCTAGAACAACCTCTGCTAGAATGATATTTCTTTCGTTTCCTAGCTTGGGCTTCTCGGTACGAGTTAAATAACTAGAATACCAGTAGGGTTGACGTCGGGTTCTCAGGGCGAGTGAGATAGTTGGTCTCCGTCTCTTTGCACTCCGACACACGCGTCCATCATCTCAGGATAGATAGATATTCTCGCCAATTTTTCATAACTTAGATGTTACTGCCATTATATGCCACATAGAGATGAATTCCTTCTGTCGTCCTTGCCGAGGTCTCTCTTAACTAACCGAGCGTGTCTTGCAAAGACGGCCTAGAAGTCAGATCTACAACATATCAGGGCAAGCCATGGCTGCATTTAGATATTTCACTACACTTGTTGACTCTTTCGGCTAGCAGATTCATTCACATTGCCATTGTACTTAGCCTTGAATTCCATGCTTTGTCTACTCTGTTTACTTAATCTACGTACTCTGCTTGAACTGTTTGTATTTAACAATTTCTATACTCTATATGATCTACTTAGAGTCTAGATATGGTAGACCAGAATAGCTTCCAGATTCGATAGTGAATCTCCGGTTCTCTACAACTTAACAAAGAAGATATTAAAAGTAGTGGCTAATGAGATAGTAAGACTACCTACCAAGAACATAGGAAAATGAATGCAGAGAGGTATTATAGATTTTAAAGTATATACTTCTTCAATGCCAGTTATATATAAAATGGCGAAGGGAACTACTGAATAAGGTTGAAGGCCACAAGATGCTATCACGGCCTGATGAGGGTATTGGTGAAATCCGTCAGAGACAGCTTATAGATCTGAGTTATTTATTTTAGAATCCGCCTGGGAGACGCTAAGTCGACTGAAAGAGGATTAGAAAGAAAAAGAATTCCTATTGATTGGCGCCTGTTACGTTCGGATAGCGTCTCAGTAGCGTGCGGCGTCAAATAAGCCTCATAGACTCGAGTCTTGAAGACCAAGTCCAGCCACCTTTCTTCTTCTAAGGATACTATGCTTTTTGTCAGATTCGCATACTCCATTTTATCCTTTCATGACGTAAGCCTGCAGCTAGCCAAATACCATAAGGACAGAGTGGTCACTAGGCATACAATCTTTTATATTACCTATAGAGACCACCCACAGAAGCTCCCATATCTAGACAGGTTAACACAACCTTGAGTACCACCATGAGCGAAACACTCCTTTCCATTCTGACTGCAGAAACCTGGTCCTGGGACCCAGACGAATTCAATCAAATCGCATTCAACAAAGACGGTACAGGCATAGTACATCCAACTTATATCCCCCAGCCCAACATGTCACAATGACTAAATTAGATACTCCCAACAGCTAATCTGCCGCCTTGAACTAGTCGTCTGGATTGCCGCAGAATTCGAGTGGAAGCCCAAAAATCCAGAACACCTCAATCAACCCATCGACCTACCCACAAACCCACCCAACGCCCGTCTATCCTCGCCCAATTTAACATCGAGATGACGCTCACCACACGCCGTCCCACCACACTGGGAGATTCGATCAACCGTCGCGTCATAAATGAACAGCTCCTGACGGATGCGGCGTTCCTGCCGAAGGAATACACAGCCACATTGGAGGCTGGGCGATTTCTATGCGCGTCAGATGTTGGAGGTGGATATAGTGATTCGCCACGGTACGGGGCTCGTTTGTCCTTTGATAAGTCGCCGTATCCGCCGCGGGAGGAGTGGAAGGAAGCAGGTGGCGGCGTGGATGTGAATAGGTTCTGGGAGTGGAGGGAGTTTTGCTCTAGGAGGCTTCCTGAGAAGACGGGGTTGTTTTCGTGGGTTTGGGGGAGTTTGGAGGGTTGAGAAGGTTGTATGTTGTGGTCGATGTGAGATTGGATGGCAGTTCTAGTTGCTTGGTGGGCTCTGTTTGGTGGGTGCTTGTATTGATATGGGCTTTCGATTGTCTAATGCTTTTAGTCTTGTTATGAGTGGGTTACGATTAGTTAATCTTGTTGATTCTTAGAGACGCAATACGATAGATGTATCTTAGGGAAGGTATCCAGAACGATGTATAGTAGAGGTCTTTGCACGCATCTAATGTCGAAGGGCTACGTGGATATTGATGCTCAGGATGACTTCTTTATATACGTATTATTCCGTCGTAATAACACTAAGACTGCTCCTCCTTGATATGGAAGCTCTTCAATTTATAAAACCCATCAAACGCGTGTGGTCCCAACGTGCATCCAAGACCAGAGTTCTTCCATCCAATCCATGCCAGGTCCTAAGATCAATTTCATCAGTATGGAAGCTTCCAAGTGGCACAACGACATATAAAGCAAAACGTACCGGACTCGGGTAATCACAGCGGTTGATATACACGGTACCCGCATCAATCTTCTCAATCAAAGCCTCTCCCGCCTTGATGTCCTTCGTCCATACACTAGCAGTAAGACCGTAGTCACTGTCGTTCATGAGAGCAACGGCCTCCTCATCAGAAGAAACCTTCATGACAGGGATAACAGGACCGAAGGTCTCTTCGCGCATGGTGACCATGTCATGCGTGACGTTAGTAAGGAGCTTAGGAGCAATATAGTTCCCTTCAGCGGGCAAAGAGGTAAATGTGGCATTGGCAGGTGTGGAGTCAATAGCGCCTTTGGATAGTGCATCGTCGATGTGGGACTGGATGTTCTTCAGAGACTGCTTGGAGATTACCGGCCCGGTCGTGGTGTTTTTGTCGGTGGGGTCGCCGAGTTTGTATCTAACTTCTGTTAGTCTTTCATAATATAATTAGACATAATATGAAAGGCGCTCTACTCACGTGCTCAACTCCTTCTGTACTTCAGTAATGAAGTTGTCGTAGACATCGGCGTGAATGTAAACACGTTCAATCGAGCAACAGCTCTGTCCAGAGTTGAAGACGGCCCCGTCGACGACTTGTGCGGCGACGTAGGCTATATCTGCATCTGGTCTGACGTATGCTGGGTCATTGCCTCCTAGTTCGAGATTCACAGGAACGACGCGGTGGGCCGTTGCTTCACGCAGGCGGATGCCACCAGCCGTGGAGCCGGTGAAGGAAACGAGCTTGATCTGGGGGAGCTTGACAATTTCGTCAAGGACGTCGAGGGAGCCGACATGGAGGAGTTGGAGGACGTTAGTGGGTAGCCCAGCTTCCTGGAAGTATGATACCAGCCGTTCACCGAGGAGGGGAGTTTGAGGAGATGGGCGGAGAAGAACCGTGTTTCCAGCGAGGAGGGCCGGTAGGAGAGTGTTCACTGTGATCAGATACGGGTACTAGAGATGGTTAGATCATGACCAGATGCTGAATTTATGTTGCCTTACATTCCACGCAGTTGAAATCAAGGTGACGCCAAGGGGTTCCTTCTTCAGGAATCGTCTGAAACCGCTCTCTGCCTGTCCGGGAAGATTCTTCAGGCTGTCGTCTGCAATACTGAGGAGGTAATCTGCGCGTTTGCGCATGGTGTCAATCTCCTTTGTGCAGTAGGCGATAGGGCGGCCCATTTGAGCCGTGAGCTCATTGGCAAGAGTTTCTTTGTTGGCATCCACTATGTTCAATGCCTTGATAATGATCGCCTTCCGCTCAGCAAGAGAGAGCTGCTTGTAGGACTGGAAGGCATTGTCCGAGGCTTGTGCAATAGCTCGAGCTTCGTCGAGGGAAGTCCCCGGGTGCTCGAAAATGACTTTGTTCGTGGCAGGGGAGAGTGTGCGAATTTGGTTTGCCATCTTGGATGTTGTATGTGTGTTTCGAGGTACGTGAGGAGATTGTGTTGCGAAGGGGATTGTCGGCTACGCAGCTCAGATATAGGTCGAACGTTATCGATAACAGCGCGCTCCGATAGCAGACAGCGCAAAGTGGGTGGGCGCGGTAATTCTCCATGGTGGATCCGACGGAATCTCTAGTCTGAGTCTGCACAGTTCACTTGAATTCCCCAGGATTCTGGTGGTCTCTTGCACATCTTGTACCCGTTATACTCGTAGCTTTATGATAGACAGCTATATCAAGTTCACAATATTTGTCAAAAATTATATTTTACGACGTATCTCTATCTAAGTGCCACACCAATTACCAATGGCGCATCGTGTATTATTCACCCAACAATAAGTTTACAAGCAACCCTCGCAATAAGCTCACCATCGTGCGGGTTCCCGACTCTCGATAATCCATCTTTGGCGAGCTCGTCATCGAAGCGTCCTATCGCGTGTCGAAGCTTGATCAACTCCGTCGTCACAAACTCATCATACTCCGGATGACCCTGTAGTGTCAGAACACGCTGTGGCATATATAGCCCCTGAACCTTGCATCGTGGGCTAGACCCAAGATTGACGAATCCTGGCGGAACGTCGTACACAATATCCGTGTGCATTTGATGTATATTCTAATTCGGTCAGCTAGGAACTAAGACCCCCCCAAATAGCTTACCAATGACTCCTTTGAGAACAGCTGCTTCCCAGTATCACTTAATTGGAATGGTTCGACCGAAACCTCCCAGCCCTCATCGTTCCGGGCGACGCGCGCCCCGAGAGCACGCGCGAGAATCTGGTGTCCAAAACATATACCGATAATGGGCTTCTTGTGCTGCTCGTGTATGTCATGGACGTATTTCGTCAACTCATTCATCCATGGTATGTCTGCATACGCATCGTGTTCTGGAGCTGTTAGAAAACCCTTGTGTTTAGCAGGGAAGACGTACTGCTGCCGGTCATCAACAATGCGTCGAAATCCTCCGGTTTGGGATATACAGATTGGTTCACTACATCCCAATTGGTTGTTTGAATCTCGGTATCAGTGACTCCAAGCCCTTGGAGCCCTTTGTTCAACCAACGGTTGAAAATCGCGCCGTAGGTCCCATAGCGATCAAGGACGGGGTCGATGGGAGTGTCAGTCTCCAGGATAGCAACTCGGATGATACGTGTCATGATGGCTTAACTAATGGATAGAAGTAATTCATTGTAAGTCTGGATATCGGCAGCGCATACAATTATACGTGGGAACAATTGTAACAGGAATAAACACGAACCCTCATCTATCAATGAGTAAGCTGCCATTTAGGGTAAGTGGGGCGTTAGCTTTATCGATAAGCGCGGTCTTTTTCCCCCGCAGCGCGGTCCGCGGTAACCATTCCGCAGTCCACATTCTCCAACGGCGGCGCGGTTAATATCGCACCGATTACTCTCCTACAAGACAGCACAATGAAGAAGGTGGACATTGACGTAGCGTCGGTGCGGCGGATTACGCCATGAGGGCTAAGCCGTCGCATCAAGCTCGGTGGCTCCGCAGTCCTCTCCAGAATTCTTAAAAGCTCTGCCTCGGCCAACTTCTTTTTCAGATCCAATCTGTGAAGCAAACTAACAATCAGAAACAATGGCCTCAAACGTCACATTAGAAAATCTCTCCAGTCTCCTGGCAGACGATATCAAAGTCAAAGTCGCTGGCATTGACTGCGATGGCATCCTCCGCGGCAAAGTCATGTCCAAGGAGAAATTCCTGGGCATTGCGGAAAAAGGATTCGGGTTCAGCTCTGCAGTTTTCGGCTGGGACATGCAGGATGTCCTCTACACGACCGATGCGAATGTCGCGCCCAAGGATTCTGGGTATGTGGACTTTATCGCGGTCCCCGATTTGAGCACATTCAGGAGAATACCATGGGAGGATGACATCCCCTTTTTCTTGGTGCGGTTTATTCAGAACGGCCAGACTATCTCTGCAGATGGCCGGAATATGCTCAAATCGATATGCGATAAGCTCGCAGCAGAGAATTGCAAAGGAATGGCAGGTGGTAAGCGTCTTGTCCCTGCTCGTATCTCCTCGTTTATATCTAACAAGAGTAGTGGAATTGGAGTTCATGAATTTTCAAACCCCTTCCGAAGACGGATACAGCAATGGCTCGCAAACCCAGAACATTGCAGCCTTCCTCGAAAAAAAACACCCCTGGATCTCTGCGCCCTATAACTGCAGGCAGTTTCTCTTACAGCGCAACTCGACCGGTGGCGTTTAAAAAATACTTTTACGACATATTCAATACCTGTGCACAAATAAACTGTGGAATCGAGGGTTGGCATACCGAGGGAGGACCGGGCGTATACGAAGCAGTGAGTTACCTTGACTAGCACTAAACGAATGTGTCGCTTATTTGACAGGCCCTCAAAGTATGCGATGTTCGCGAAATGGCCGACAGAACATCTTTGTTCAAGTATGCATCCCTTCCCTAGTACACCGGTATAAGCTAACAACCAAAGGCTTGTGGCAAAGTCAATAGGCATCGAGCACGGCATCACGCCCTGTTTCATGGCCAAGCCGATCCAAGGTCAACCAGGCAGCTCCGGCCACATCCACGTTTCGCTTTGCGATCTTGACGGCAAGAACCTATTTGCTCGAGAGACTCCGGACGACAACGCGCCATGGCCTGATGCTGTCGGGCTGTCGGATCTGGGCCGCCAATTCCTCGCTGGTATTCTGGAGGCGCTGCCAGACATCATGCCTCTATTCGCACCGACCGTTAACTCTTACAAACGGCTAGTGGAGAACTTCTGGGCGCCCGTGAATGTCAGCTGGGGCCTAGAAGACCGAATGGCCTCGATCCGTCTCATCACACCCCCGGTATGCAAGCCTGGCGCGACGCGATTCGAGGTCCGTATTCCCGGCGCGGACTTGCATCCCCACTACGCACTCAGTGTGATTCTCGCCGCTGGCTGGCGTGGTGTACAGAAGAAGTTGGAGATTAAGGTGCCTCCTGTGTCAGCTATGAAGAAGGATAACACGCGTCCAGAGCTACTGCCAAATACTCTGGAAGAAGCTCTGAAGCGGTTCAACGCAGCGGATAGCATTGCACGCGAGATCCTGGATGGGGAATTTGTGGACTTCTTCACTGCAACTCGTGAGCATGAGTTGCGAGTGTGGAGAGAGGCCGTGACCGATTGGTAAGTAGATGGCCCGGTGAGAAACGTGGATAGTTGCTAACAGTGAATAGGGAGTTTAAGCGGTACATTGAGACGGTGTAAATAGATACTGGGGGCACAATAGACATAAATGTACTGTAAATAGCAAAGTATATACCTACGAATCGATGTTTTCTTACGATATCCCCAATATAGTGCAGTCCTCTAAATCAGGACCTCCGATTTCTGTGGAGGCTTCTTTGCTGGGAAATTTGGGTTGAGGGTTGCAGGATGTATGTCTTTTCTCTCTCTGTTATCCCTCTGTGCTTTTCTGGGTTTACTACCCTGGTTATATATTGTCCAAGTGTGTATGGTGCCGAGCTAATAAATCAACCCAGGAAACTAGCCAGCATGGTATATTGTAAACGAGTAGCGAGGCTTACAGTCAGGTAGAGCGTGTATCTTTACCGTCAGCATGCTTGTATTACGCCGGCGCGGTTTGATGGTTACTATGCTGTTCATGAGGGGGATGTGAGGTATGTTGCGGCAAGTCAAATGTATGAATAACGTGAAATTCGTGAGAAAGATCCCGTATTACGCTAATTAGGCACAGGCTGACTGGGTATATCATGAAATTACTCATTCTTCGTCATTTGCATCTTCCACCGATGCAGAGCCCTTGGAGGGGGTAGGCGTTTGAGCCCTATCCTGTCCTTCTTCTTCTTCCTTATTGTCCCCTTTGTCCTCTGCGGTGTTGTTCTTGTGGCTTTCGTTGCCCTCTGGTCCATGCTCCAATGGCTGTTTCTGAACAGTCTTTCCCTTGCCCTTGCCGTTGTCTAGCGGCTTCTCCGCTTCGCTCTTGAAGTATTCTGTTCCAGACTCCTCTACTCCAGGCGTCACACCGTCCTTGCCTTTCTTTTTGGCTCTCGCTCTGCGAATCAGTCGATTGTGATATTCTTTCCCTTCGACCTCGGGATTCTCCTGCAAAATCCGTCTAGCACCCTCCCGTCCAACCACGGGCAATCGATCAACCCCATGCAGCCCGTGAGGGACAAGCTTCGGATCCAGCAATCCGACCTGGACTAGAACACTCGCCTGATCCCAGTATACGTGCTCCGAGTACAGCCTACCCGCCCGCAGGCTGACAATGCTGACGAGGATTACTTCCACCTCTTTATTTGTAGGCGGCACACCGGGCAACATCCAAGGCACCTCCTGCGTATGCTGGAATGTCGCGTGCAATTCATCAGCCACCCGATCAACCCCGATTGTCCGCGAGATTAACCGCAATCGCATGGAAGGCGGTAGCTGGCGCAGGAAGCTCTGCTCGTAGAACCGCCGCAAAGCGTGGTTTCCGATGCCCCCACTTACCGTGGGGACGTATGTGACCGCCGGGTTGACGTGGCTCACATATGGTTCCATCGTATTAGATAGGTTCATGGAGAAGAATTTGGCTGTTTAGATTAATTAGCGGATCTATTTGGACCGACGAAAGACTTGCTTCCTGGAACACATACCTTCAAGATGTTCCTCCCATCTGTCCTCTAAATCAACGTCCTTGTTGAACCCTCTCCGGAGCACTTGCAACGTCCGACTAAACGCCAGGTCGCATGCCAGTCGATCATACTCGTCTAAATCGTGCTCTGCAAACCCGGGCTGTACATACTCATATGTATATGCCGTATGCCCGATGTTCAACCGCTCACCAGTCCCCATGCCCGGGTTAATCTGCCGTGTACTCCGCTTCTTCTTGCCCTGCAGTCCCACCAGAGTCGGAATAGTCGTCACGTCAACAGTGGCACCAGCCAAGTGCGTCAGGATCCGGACAGAAGGCGGATAACGCGACCGCGTATCGGGGATATTGGTGGGATAATAGGCGACCAAAGCGCAAAGACGACTACAGTTGGTGGGTTTGAGGTAGTAGTCCAAGCAAAATGAAGCAGCGTCTCCGAAGGCTGGAAAGCGTAACATCAGCTATGTCCCTACTGCATCCGATACTCAAACAGGAATGGGCAAAGGAGAGAGGAAACTCACCCATAACCGCATAGTTCTCCCCCACCCCCAGTCCCTCCTTCACACTCTTCAGTCGGGCAACATATTCCCTGGTGTCACCATCATACGGAACATAGATCACATCGAAGCCCTCATCACGCCAGTTCCGCAAGATCTCCGTGTCGAAATCCGGTGTTTCAGCCGAAATGCACAATCGTGCTTTACCGGAGGCGTTGTTGTATAGGAAGCCTGTTGCTCCCGGAGCGTTGATGGAAATGGTGGCCATTTGCCTTTCTTTCCTTGGGTGTTTTTGGTCCCTTATGGGAATGCTTTACCACGGGTGTACACGGTGGAAATTTGGTAGCTCAGGAACAGTACCACGCATGAGAATAATTGGGGTTGTGGTTGATATACTTAACTTGGTATATGAATTTCGGGAGGGTGGCATACGTCATGGGATGTCACACGGCATACGTCATCGGGGGTGGATCAGATGGTCGAGCGCTTCCTGTTCGTGGTAATTTGTGTACATTTTATTATCCTATTTAAATCAATTAATGCGAGGTCTGTGGGTTTGTTTCATTGTTAAGTTACCTTGAAAAAGAAAAATGACGGGGCTGCCTTTCGGTCCATGGGAACCCTATGATCTATCCCTAGTGCTGCATAGCCGTCCAGGGACTGGAGCCTTGTAAGGCCACGTGACTGGCGTTAATGCGTCCTGCTACAATAAGGACCAACTCGTCCAAGAAACCCTACAACAGGCCAGCGGTGCTCCTGTCGAAACGTTCCCAGTCGATCAAGATCAGGGGTTATCCATCTTAAACAGTCATATCGTTTCTTCCTGGCTGTTTAGCGGTTTCCCAACTGTCGTCTTCTCATTTCACAGTGGTGATGCTATTGGTTTATCAACGCTGAACCTCCTCTTAAATTTATGGCTGATGGTATAGTCCTCGTGCAGTATCTCTTCCAATTGGCCGACGCAGAGTACACAGCATAGCCTAAAGGCTGAAAAGTGCGGCGATGGCTTGATGTAAGGCAGCTGCACTCTGTATGTATGCTCCCAGTTTACACTTTACGACACTCTTCGCCTATGGATAGAGTTCTAGTGCTCGACACTCAATGCAGAATGTAACTGGCCAATGGAGTCAGTTCAATGAAACTCATCACATTGATATTCATTGCAATGCTGTTTCGTTTACATTCTATTTTCATACGTCATCAGAGCCATCAATTAGACAAAGTCTAAATTCCATATCCTACCATAGCATCAGTCCATATTCAATACCCTATACGCCTGCAGGCCACAAGTGCAATTCGCAGTCATCACCAGATTCAGCAGAGTGAACATCAAGATGAGTATCTACTTTGTTTTATACTGGGTACAGGCAACTGTAATATCTCACCGAATTTTCTAATGCCCCACTATTCAGATCAGATCAGCCTGATAGTTAGAGATAGTGCCGAAGATCCCTCAACGGCCAAGCCGGTAGTCTCGAGTACCCACATTATATTGGACACATTTTTTCGACACAGCTAATGAATATGGGGGCCTTCATGAATGCGGCGACACGTGTTGTTCTTTTTGCGCAAATCAGTGAGCCTGATCCACCCATGGGGTATGTCCATGTACAGCGCAGGTGATATATCAGATATCACATACAAGGCTCTCCACTCCATACCAGACCTCGGAAACAAGAGGACGCTTAAACGACGAGCGTCAAGTCAATAAATTCTCTTGGCCACAGATCTTCCATTCCACAAATGCATTTCATTGCCAAATAAGATCAAAGTCGACTCTTGGCGAGTCGAGTCGGTTTTCGATTTCCTGTTTCTTTAGCATTCAACCTGTTCCCTCCCCTGTTCTCGGGCTGCCATCAGTATGTATAAATAAAGTTAACTCTACTCGTCCGTGAGAGGCGGCAAAGCAAAAAGCCAAAAAAATCAAAATGCGGTCTTCTATTCTCCTCGTACTCTTCTCAGCGGTTGTAGGGGCAAAAACTGTGCCCAACGGCCAAACACTCAACCTCAACGGCATACCCTACTATCTCAGTGGGATCCCCATATCAAGTTTCTCCCGCGATACTTTCAATAAAGCAAGTGTCGATGTCGACATCTTCCCATTTACGGTTATCCAGACTTCTAGCACCGTCGATGGTAATTTTCTGAGTCAAACAGTTACCAATTTTACCCAGCAGGATGATGTATTTCAACCTGCATTCCTTCAGACCGTCTATTTGACATCTTCTGGCGAATCTTCGAAAATGAACGAGCTGTCTGGCAGCGAGGTTTTGCACCAGTTCGATAATCAAATGCTCCTAACAGAATCTGATACTTCCTTGTCTACGCCTCTTCCGAGTGGGCCTTACTTTGCTTCCGCCCGTACAGGGCACGTTTTCAGAGCTTATCGCCTCTACTCTGACGACACTTTGGCCTTCATCTCGGCCGCTATTAGCGATGAGAATGGCGGCTTCATCCCCATGACTGGGGTTACAGAGGGTGTCATGACGAAGAATGTCGCTGTCCCATCCCGTCTCTACTATACCCCTACCGCTGAAAAGCCTTTAGCTGGTCTCCGACTAGGCGTGAAGGATATCTTCCACGTTAAGGGTCTTAGAACCAGCGGTGGAAGCCGTGCGTACTACTACCTCTATGACGAGCAGAATATTACCAGTCCCTCTGTACAACGCCTCTTCGACTTGGGTGCTGTAATGGTTGGAAAGATGGGTACTGTTCAGTTCGCCAACGGCGATCGCCCTACTGCTGACTGGGTTGATCTCCACTGTCCATTTAATCCACGCGGAGATGGATATCAATATCCTAGTGGTTCCTCGTCGGGTTCTGGCGCGGGCATTGCCGCGTATGAATGGTTAGATCTGGCTATTGGTAGTGACACAGGTGGTTCTATGCGCGGACCTGCCGGTGTCCAGGGTGTTTATGGTAATCGACCATCAACTGGAGCTATCACTATGGAGAATGCCCTGCCACTCTCACCCCCGCTCGATACAGCCGGTATGTTCGCACGAAGTGCGTCTTTATGGTCAAAGACTGTACAAGCTTGGTACCCCAATTTCAATCGCAGTTATCCATCCCACCCCAAACAAATCTATCTCTCTCGCAGCAACTGGGACGAGTACACCACGCCTGAAGCAAATGAACATCTCGAAACATTCATGCAGAAACTCGAGGATTTCCTCGATGCGAATCGCACCATCGTCAATGTGACAGAACATTGGTCAGAAACCCACAGCTCGCCCTCTTTGATCAACCTTCTCAACACCACCTACGCCTACCTTGTCTCCGTCGGCCAATGGAATAATCTCGCCAAAGGCTTCTTTGCAGACTATGCCCAGGCTCACGACGGACGTCGCCCATTCATTAACCCCGGTCCACTGGCGCGCTGGGAATGGGGGCAAGCAAATGGCGCAAACGCATCCTACGACGTTGCCCTGCAGAATATGACTATCTTCCGAGACTGGTGGTCGACGTCCGGCTACGGACGACCTGACAATGAATCTTGCTCAGAAGGCGTCTTCGTTCACGCCTGGGCGACTGGAGCAGCAGACTACCGCAACCGATACTTCAACCCCCCTGGTCCCCCATTCGGATTCACAGACGACGATATCGCCATTTACGCAGGCACACCCGAAGTTGTGGTCCCGTTGGGTGAGTCTCCATACAACAGTACCATCACACTGCATGAGGAGTATCTCCCTGTTTCAGTCGGTCTGCAAATGGCTCGAGGCTGCGATCGGGCACTTGCGGAGTTGGTGGATGGTCTGGGCAATGCAGGCATTTTGAAGCCTGTTTCTGCGGGTTCACGATTGTATTCTTCATAAATAGATGTCGTTATGTGTTATATATTTGGTATATACCTTAATATATTTGGCTAATCTATCCCACCACAATTGTGCCAAAATAAGACTTGGCTCGGTTTAGAAGACCATATTCAGGCAGTCAGGAGCTGTATTAAGGATAGGCTTGAACGTTGCCCAAGCGGAATTATACAGCCTGCCTCTCCATAGCAAACAACTCTGCATTCTATTCTGCATTGGTAAGAGCCGAGTGAGGCAACCTCGCAGATATACTACTGCAAACAGATAGAATGTTTGCAAGGCTAGTCGCGGAGACCTTCCATGATTCAAGTCACGCTTGACACAAGAGGCTTGCTTGGAGATGGTCAACTATGGGGAGCAATAGCAGCCACTCCGTCACTCCTACAATCAACCTTGCCTCCGTCAGCAGCTTTATTCAACCTATGAAGGTGACCAAATGCATAATCGACGACGAGCCTATGTTCAAAGATCTTATTCTACTCCTCGCGCTCGGTAGCAAGGTATGTTTTCCGTAATAAAAATTCATTCTTGATACCATGTGAACTACAAGATCTATTCTGGAAGCTAGTGACCCCGTAAGGCATTCTGTCGAAATTTGGCCCACCAATATAAAGGAGTCACTGCGTGAATATATTTGACTTCTCTCTTTCAGACGACTAACGAGCTTAACATCACCACATCCTCTGTACTCAGGATGGCAACGCACCCCTTTGACCCCAACTTCACCGACAAGGTAATCAACGCGATGGGTCCCATGACACCACCACGTCTGCGCCAGCTGATGACCGGGCTCATCAGACATGTGCACGACTTTGCGCGTGAGAACGAGCTGACGGTGGACGAGTGGATGGCGGGCGTGGGGCTGCTCAACTGGGCCGGGCAGATGAGCGACGACAAGCGGAATGAGGGACAACTGCTGTGGAATGTCATTGGGTTGGAGAGGTATCTCGTTCCCACGAACCTTACACATAGAAGGCATGTTATGTACAGAAATGCTGGCTAACTAGGACCGGGAAAGTCTCGTCGATGAAATCACATTCACCCTCGCCGGCGAAGCTCACGACGCACCGGCTGCCACTGCAATCTGGGGCCCGTTCTTCCGCGCTGACACGCTATGGCGCCGGAACGGGGAGGATATTGTGAAAACGAAGCCGGCTGATGGCAAGATGGCATTTATGCATGGGCAGGTACTCGATTTCGTGAGCAAGAGGCCGCTCGTCGGGGCAACGGTTGAAGTGTGGCAGGCTTCGACGAATGGATTGTACGAGCAGCAAGATCCTGAGCAGGAGGAGTTTAATCTGCGCGGTAAATTTAAGACGGATGAGGAGGGTAGATATTCGTTTTATTGCTTGAGGCCGACGCCATATCCTGTTCCTCATGATGGTATTTTTCCACTCTCCCTTATGTCTACTCGATATACCAGGTTTATTTTGGCGACTGACGATGATATGACCTGGGGGAAAGCTCATCCAGCTGATGGATCGGCATCCCTTCCGGCCTGCTCATATTCACATCATTGTACGTTCCCTCCGCTCTTTACGTTCAATTCTAACACCAGGTAGGTAGGCTACACATGATGGCTACCGTTCTCTCACTACGCAAATTTTCGACCGTAAGGACAAGAACGTGGACAGCGACTGCGTCTTCACGGTCAAGAATTCTCTCGTTGTCGATTTTGTGCCCCGCACGGGCGATCCTCAGGCTGGTCTTGAGCTGCACTACGATATCAAGCTTGTGTGCGATGCTACCGATGGTGCATAGCTCTGGGTTTTTTTCTTGGCGATGATATGAAATGGGGTTATCTGTATCTTACTGTTTGCGAATGGAACCTTTGTTTTCTTGTGAAACAACAGATAGTATTTCTTGCCTGTGGCTTCAACGTGCGCCAAGTCACAAGCAGACTGAACAGCATAATAGATAGGCTGCCCGCAATGCATGGTCAAATATTAAGAATCATGGTATAGTACGTGTATCAGAGACAATGCCTCGCCGTGTTGGGGCTGTGGTCGAGGCGGCTTGGTAGTATATGACATATTAGGGCAAATCGTATGTATTGGGATACCGACGCGTATCGGACGCTAGGGCGCTGTGATATCCATCGTACATATACGATGGAGGTGGCCTTATTCTTGGCAGGCCAATCGTTGCTGTAGATCCCTCTGCCGGACCGCAGGATATCCGGATGCACTGAGGCTAGCATTGGAGTTGTAGATCCTCTCCAGGATCGGTGCACCGGAGGAGAAGTTCTGAGTTCGCACTGGTTGACGACCACTTGGGAGGAATGGTGCTGTTGTCGACAGTGTCGAAGCCTTGGTCCGCCTGATGAATACTCTGATTTCTTATACATATCGAACAGACACTCCTTTGGTCCCGTGAATGAATTGTTTACGCAACACCATATATGGTGCTGTACTGTACCACTCACTGCTTCTTTCCCTTGGATCTTCTATTGAAATGGCACGTGGCGTAGGTATCATATAAACATAGCTACTGTAGCATGGTTGTGTGGGCTATGGGTGATCCAGAACCACTTCTTTGTAAACAAAATCCAATCTCGATTTAGACGCTACTGCATCTATCTTACGTGCTATACAATGGCCTGTGCAGAATAGTAGTCTCCTTTGTTGTCTCTGCTATACAGCCCTTCTGCGTTTTGCTAGAAGGTCCTGGGGACTAATCCAAAAGAGAAGCATTACACTATTTCCCATTAACCTCATTCACGAATCCACAATAACAAGTTATCAAACCAAATACTCCTTCAGAAAGTCCGCCTGAGCCGATGCAACACGATCGAAGCCTTCACCGCTATAACTATCAAAATGGCCGCCGGGGAGGATCCGCAACTTCTTTGGCTCCCGGGCCCGAGAATACGCCTCCAGAGCAATATCAGTGGGAGTGATGACATCATTCTCTGCCACAGTCATCAACAGCGGGGTTGGCGAGATGTGGTGGATATGCGCTGAAGGGTAATATTCGCGAGCCGCCTCGAGACTGATCAGAGAAGTCAGCATTAGGGCCGGGTCGCGTAGAGGAAGAGGGGAACGTACGTTTTCAGCGTGACCTCATTTTTCCAGTTAGACTTGGCTTCCCACGCACTAAAGAACTGATAGCTATCTGGAGTGGGGAGGGCAGATGGTTTCAGGGGGTCTTCATCCACCACTTTCATCATCGCAGGGGGTTTGCCTGCGGCGCGGGCCAGCCTGTCTATATGTAACAATCAGCGAATGTGAGCATCAGCGAGCGCCCTTGAGTGAATGAACACTGATACCTTCCTGAAACCCCTTGTTCACTGCCTCCACCATATCAGGCCGAATGAGCCGATTCATATTCGTCCAACCATCTGCGAACGGAGCATGCGAGAGCACCGCCTTCACACGCCGGTCAACTGCGCCAACCCATAGCACATGGCCCCCGCTGTAAGAACTGCCCCAGATGCCGATGCGGTCGGGATCAACGTCGGTGCGAGACTGCGCGTACGTGATGGCGTCGGAAATATCGCTTGTCTGTTGACTCGGGAGGATCTCATGGCGAGGCTGGCCTGCCTTGGTGTCACTGTCCCCGAATCCTCGGTTGTCATATACTAGACAGCTGATGGGCAGGTTCTGGGTGAAATATTCCGCAAACGTGTCAAGGTCCATTTCTTTCAAGGCGGAGAACCCGTGAGACATCACAAGGCATGGCAGCCTGGTTTCTGATGGCTTTGTTGAAGAACGGAAGAACCATCCTCGCAAAGTGACATGGTCGGCTGTTTGGAATTCGATGTTTTCGTGAGGCATGTTGGGTCGTAGTTCAGCGTGATTGGGAGGATTCAATTGTATCTTCAAAGGGGAAGAGCTGAGACGATGTTGGGGGCCTCCAAAGGTGTAAAGATCCTGACGTTCTTAAAGGTCCTTTAAGGCCACCCATAGTTGTTCAAGGCCACCCACCCTTGGTCGTTTTAAGGCCCCCTTCCGGTGGATTCTAGCCGCCAATCCGCGACAATCGTTTGTTTAAGTTCTATGTACGGCTTTCTGAACCGCCTGTCTTATTGGATCACTTTCGAATTACTTATTTTACTTGTTTTAATTCTCATGCATAATTCCTGGATATAACTAGTACCTATACCTTATGATCCTTCATGTGATATATGACGTAATGAAAGTCTTCCTCATCCTCTTCAGAGTAACATCGCTGCCCAGTGCCAGCCCGCCGGCTGGAGAGTTAGCCTTGGTTAATAAACCAACTCCCACGCTCAAATGTACGCACAAGGTGATTATTTTCAGATCATCGAGCTTGAGATGAAAGCAATGCAGTATTCTGAAAAATCTTTCTTGGAAAATCCTAATCGAGTTTCATTTAACTCTTCCATGGGAGAAGGATACAGCTCAACAGAAGAGCACAACCGTGAATTGAGAGATCGTGCTGTCCAGCTCACGACGGATAACCTCGACATTCTAAGGAGTGGGGAGAATTCTATATTCTGTGACAGTCTTTTGGCATTGTGGAGAAAACCCAGCTCCTGGGGGCGGGTTTAACATTCCAGAATGCAGATCGTCAGAGCCCGGCAAGTGCCAATAGGTATGACATCAAAACCCTAATAATTATGGAGCAATCCACGTCTACTTCCGAAAGCATAAATAGTTAAGTTATCCTGCCATGACAGTGAAATCAATCCCCAGGTTCGATCCAGCTAAGCATACGGCTTGGTCTATACAACGTGCGTCAATACTTCTTCAACCCATCAAAAGCTTGGTCTAGATCACAATTGAATCTCCTCATCTCATCCTTTTCTTCAATTCAGTTAGGTACCCCCATTGGCTGCACCTAGTGTTCGATAGTCAAATCAACTAGAAAAAAAAATGCATTCTGCTTTGCTGATGGCTACCAGCAAATCCCCCTTTCCGTTATATGCTTTGTATTACCTACTTCATTGGTTGTTGTTATATAGCAGCTGCCAGCATCACCCTCTTTCTACTATAACAGCCTCCGAAGCGAGCAGAGTTACGAGGCCAGTCGAGATATTCTCGATGCTCAAGTCACGTATGATTCCCCCGCTAGCGTCGACACTCTGACCAGCCCAAGTCACGCCCGTTCTCGCATCGGAACTTTGGCCCGTCAAGCGTCTAACCCTTAGATTGGACCCAAGGCTGGAGACAACGTTGAACTCCCTACTCGACCGGGTAGTTGTCTCGTTAAAATACTCCATATTCAAGATAACAAGCTTCTCCATCTGGTCATTGTCGTAAATAGCAAAATGTACAGCAGAGCTGGAATCAAGCGACGTTATCGGCGCGATCCTGGGAACCTTGAGATCTGCTACGAGGTCTGCAATGAAGAGCATGCTATAATATCTATTTCCCCTCTGCTCATCAGTTCTGGGCAAAATACAATGTCTCCAAAGTGGACGGATCAGAAGACTCACGTGGGTTAATATGGGGGACCGGCAATGTATCCGTCGGCAACGGCTCCCACGTAGAATAGTAGAAGTCGCCTTTTCCGTTGTGGAAGAAGAATCGATCGATCCCAGCTGTGGCACCGGTGAGCGCGTAGTCCAGTTGCCAGAGTGCTGCTCCAAGCGTGTTCGATACCCCGTCCTTCCCGTGGCAGGCAACGGAGCCTGTTTCGCCCATGTGTATCTTTTTTCCCAGTGGTTTTGCGGCGGATATCTCGCTGCTGTACTGATCGAGGAGGGCTAGAGTCTGTTTGTGGTCGAGGAGGTTTCTTAGGTCGACTTTGGCTGCGTCTTCGTCTGTTTCAATTTAGAGGGAGGTGAGAACTGGAATAATGGCAGGAAAGAGGAAACATTACTCAAATACATATATATACATGGGGGAAACATACCCGTGCATATATTCCATGGGTAGCCATGGACGGAGAAATATTCAATTCCTGGAATGGACTGTGGTACATCTAGCCTCACTAGTTCCGAGATGCTCATATCCGGCTTGAATAATTCCGGGCCTGCAAATGATGGAAACTGGAAGCTGGAAGTGGCGGACGAGCGAGCTCGGAGACGTGGTATCCATTCACGCATTTGACTGGCATAATCATTCACGTCGTAGTCTGGTGGTCGAATGTCTCCATACAGGTTCACTTCATTACCTAGTTCGTATGCCATGACCAGAGATTGGTCGATGTATTTGAAGGCACCGTCGATCTCAGCTTGGGCCAGGCTGTAGCTGTCTGTAGGATAAGTCAGAATTGACAGCAAGCCACATGAATAGGAAGAACGGATACATACTGTTGCGAAAATTGAGTCCAAAAATGATCGGAGTTCCAGCTGGCACGTTGTTCGTCAGGACATTAAATAAGTTCTTGTTAAACGTAACTTCGACTGCTTCGGTGCCCTTGGGATCATTGGGGTCGTTTAGCACAATGCTACTCATTGTCTGTTCACAGTTCTCGCAGAAGCTAGCTCGATCTTGGGTATTGCCACCTATCCGTAGGATAGCTGGACTCCGAGACCGATCGACGATGTTCTGTAGAAGTTGTTTTGAAAAGGTGTTTGGATTGTCCACGTCACCAAAATAATCTACCGTGTTCCCAAATCTGAAGTGATGGTGGGTAAGCACCCTATCGAGTGAAAGGGGTGAATAACAGCCTACTCAATGGACAGCCCCATCAGCTGTTTGTTCAGCGGCACTGCGCCTGCAGCGGCTTGCTGGACGTTAAAGTGAACATCTGAGCGATACAGAGGCAGCGTGTTATTGTCCAAAGGCAGTGCCGCTACTGTCTTCGCTATAGTAGCTAGAAGTATGAGGTGGGTGAGCACCATGATGGTAGTTATCATTGATTACAACCTTACTTCCATATTTACACCCTCAACGTATTTTTTATACATCAACATCCATGCGCTTTGATACATGGAGCGGCAACATGATTGACGGGAAAATCTATTGATTAATATGAAGAAATCGTCCGGACCAAGAGTGTGGGGTAAGTACCCCCGCCGGGCTTTCAGTGATTTAGATATGTCGTTGATGATGAGTTGGCCTGGCTGATATAGAGTTCGATATAATCCGAGAGGTGTCAGAATTGACACAGAGAGTTGAAGCAGATATGGCTCGAAAACCGGAAGCGTCGGTTATATATTGTTTGGCTCTTGAGAGTACTATAAACACCAACTCGTCACAGAAAAGTGAATGAATTATATATCTCAATACCGAACTTTCTACACAACCCATGGCGATGAAGCAGGAATCGATAGATGTTGACTGTACGGGCAGTTATATTGATTTATGGCTAATGCCTCGAATGCCCATTCCCCATAAGTATACCAGCACAAAGGAATCTAAATTGCTAAACACAAAAACGCGTGGCCACAGCAAAGACACCGATCCGAATAGCCAATTGTATAATCCAAGGAGCAATTACAACGTATCATCAACTAGCCAACAGTATGATCCTGTTGCGCCGCGCTATGCTATAAGCGTACATGGAAGGAAGGTATCTGATATCACAAAGACCCGCAAAACTTTATCTGGTCCCTATCGTTGCCGCTGCCCGAACGGATTCCCAAAATAAGATAAAAAAATGTTCGAAAAGAGAAAAGAAAGAGAAAGGGATGGCTACTTGGCCTTCAGGGTAAAGCATGTAGCAATATTATACCCGACATCAATCGTCCTTGAACGTAGTACGAGTCCTGCTCGTCCCTGCCGAAGGACTATGGAAACGGCCTCTCACTGAGCTACCATCGCCAACAATTGTTCCGGATCGGTTGTACTCGGGCCGCAGTATCTTTGAGGCGTCGCGAGATTCTAATCCATCATTAAGCTCAATCAGGTCTCCCACCCCGCGCGTCGCAGGTCGATGGGCTGTGCCGTTCATTTGGTGGCCTTGTGTGCTTTGCTGCAGTTCATTAAACCCAGCCTTGGCTCGGTTGGTCATCTTCCTGACCCAGCCCTCGACTGCACCGCCTATATTGTCCAAGCCGGTGGGAGTGTTGGACACAGCATTTGAAGTGTACTCCGTGGAGTCTTGAAATTTCGGAGGAGTAGGAGCGGGGGCAAGGTTCGGTAGATGCTGGGCAAAGAATTTACTCAGACCGTCGAGAGCCGGCCCAGGAGCCATTGCGTCACGATCGAGGGTGCCACGCCCGGCCCGGCTAATTGTATGTTGCTGCGTTGACGCTGGTGGCGCACGGCTGGCTTAGATTTGGCTGATGTTCGTGACCCTGACGAGTCCGCGTGAGGTCTATTTCCGGGCATAGATGTAACGCGCGAGGGTTGAGGTTCAAAGGTTGATGAAGTCGAGGATAATGTTGGGGTTCTCTCGCGTCCAGATAACGAAGGACTCTCGGAGTCAGTATAGGAAATAGATTTCCGTCTTGAGCGCGGAAAGAAGCCTAACGCCCTGCGAGGGACGCGTCCAATCTCTACAGGCGCAGAGAAGCCATCGATCTGGACCCAGGACTCGTGTTTCCATATTTGGTCCGCTTCCGCCTCTGAAGGAGCGTCCGGGATTGCTTCGGGTTGATCGCGAGGCCCTGAAATCGAACTCGGGGCTATTGAGCTCCCACTTGGATCTTCCAAAGAGTCTCGTCTGGAAATCCCAGCATCCACCAGTTTTAAATCATGTCGAATGGGTCGTCCTTTGACTGAGCAAGAATCGACTGGTAGAAGAACTGTCTTCCGACCTTGAATACTATCACTGGGCCAAAAGCCATTCGCCTTCCTAAATATCGCAGGCTGGCAACCGTAGCGTATCGTTACCCCCGTTATACTGTCCGTCGGCTGGACATGATGTACGTACGCCAGAGCTTCCTCGTCCGGATTCGAACCTGCTTTCAAATGGCCCGTCCGATCACTAGAATCGCGTCGTTTATGTTTCGTATTAAGATTTCCATTCGTCTCTGTATCCGCCAGTAGCAGTGCTTCCCTTTTCTTAGCCTGTACAAATGCTTGCCGTTCTTCCTTAGTTCCAGCGCCAATTGCGGAGGTAGACGGAGCTGCCGGTCCCCACGACGAGGATGTCAAAGTCCGCGACGGGTTCCCCGTGTACGAATCGGGGCGTGAAGGCTTCCTCGTATGTGTCCGTGGCGTGCCATTGGTGGTGGGCCGTGCAATATCACTTCCCAAAACCGATGAGGCCAAGCTCTGTAACGATGACCAAGACGCATCCAGAAAGTCAGCGGCAGCTCGCGACGACTCCGCGAAGTTGACTTGATTCTTGCCAGTATAGCTGAACCCGCCTAACGAGCTACTCGCTCCGCGGCCAGGCGAAGGTGTGACTCGGGAAGGATGTCTCATGGGCATTGGCGAAGCTCCGCGGGATGTGTAGGGTGACGGGGTGGCACCGCGAGATCGAGGTACCGGGAGATCCGTGGACAGGGTGGTGGACAACCCGGAGGGCTCCAGCTGCCTTCCATTATCACTTTCATCGTCGGTGAACGATACCAAGCGGCGAGGGCGTGATCGCACGGTTGAGGTGGACCTACGGGAGGCACTCGTACCATTTGTCCCAGGGCTGAGGGTGTCGGCAAAGCTGGTACTGGAACTCATCCCTGACGACGATAATGATTATATTCGAGGGGAGAGAATATCGTCAGCTCTCCTAAGAGAAGAAAACTTTGGGTGAATGATCGCCAAACGCAAAGCGCCATGGGAAGGCCCTATAGCACAACGTTCGTCATCCAGTCTTCGTCCCTATCGCATCTGTGTCCTTAAGCGGCGTTCTAACGTGCTAGGGTAAGAGCAATTCAGTAATCTGTCCAATAAACGATGGTCTTCGCACAGTGGGTTGAGGTCCGATATGACGCACAGTCCAGAGAATCAGGGACATCGAACTAGGGAGACCATCGAAAGCTGAGCAGGGAGTATGGGGGGTGAATAGTCGGGGTGCGGGATGTGGCAGGAAGGGTAAATTAGTGGTTTAACCTCCTTTGTGATGACGACTCCCCGAGTTTAGTACCAGCAAGCCCAGACGTCGTCCACTCACGGCGGGGCGGGTCCAGGTCTTATGTAAAAGGTCAAGAGAATGGAGACTTTGCGGCGCCCGCTGAGATTAGATAGGTCGCTCAGAACTTTGCCAAGGGGAAAATTGAGAGAAAAGAAGCGACCACCAAATAAAGGGAGAAAGAAAGAAAAAAAAAAGCAGCAGCAGTAGGAATAGGAGAAAAGGGACGTTCCGCCAAAAGAAAGACAAAATTGTGCTCGGAATATTCGATCGGCATCCCAAGAGGTGATCCTTTCCCAGTCAATCTTGTCATGTTCTTATCATCCTGTGTAGGTCACCTTGCAGCCTCCAGTTGGCCACCGTACGGTACCGTATTGCCCGACCGGCCGCGGATCGGCGAGTTCCCTCCCATTACGGTGCAATTGCTTACGCCAACACTATTATCACGACGCATTGCATAACAATATGCATATACTCTATCCTGCCAAATATACAGTGAAGCTTCGTTCATTTCATCCATTGGGAGATTCCTCTAAAGATAATACCACAAACAGGAGAGCCGTCAAAATACTCTATGGGCAGTATTAGACTTCATAACCAGGATGAGGTGGAAATTGCCACAGATGATGGCCATATCCGACAAGGCCATTATATATCTGGCAATATTCTCAAACAACAAAAAAACAGAACGCCATTCCCTTCGTGCTGTACACAAGTAACATAGACAGGCGGCTAACAATATAAGTTCACGAATTCATCAGACAATTCACTCCGGCGGCTCTGCCATTTCGGCGGATGGCCGTGTTTCAACTTCAGATGTCGCCTCTGACTCTGTGCTCCATTCTTTCTCCGAGCTAGCCTTGATGGATGCCTGCAGTTGTGTAGGCGGGGGGATAACCCTAACACCTCCAGCACGTGAGAAGAAGTCTTCTGTTCGAAGACCACGGACCTCTTTGGGATCGACGGTGTTCATTTGAAGACCAGCAGCCTTTTTCTCACGAATAAGCTCTCGGACTGGTGCCATAGCTGCGTCGCGGCAGGCTTCCTTGATATCACTGCCTGACATGCCTGCCATGGCTTTAACAAGGTAGTCGAGGTCAAAGTTCTCCCGGTCTACCTTGGTATCTTTAAGTACAAGACTGAGGATTCGAAGTCGTTGTGCTGCTGGAGGAAGAACGACCGGGAACTTCTTTGGCATCCGCCTGAGAATGGCTTCGTCGATATCCTGTATGCGGTTTGTCGCTCCCATCACAACAACCCGCTGAGGTTCACCCGACGAGTTCGCGGAGGTAAGGCCATCCCAATGGGTCATGAATTCTGCCTTAACCATACCACTTGCCTCGTGTTCTCCACTCCGCCTAGTACCAAGAACAGCGTCGATCTCGTCAATGAAGACGATGGAAGGCTGCAGCTTCCTGGCTAGGGAGAAAACTGCATTAACCAACTTATTCGAATCACCGTACCACTTCTCTGTCAGAGTTGATATATGTAGGTTGATGAAACATGCTCCACTCTCATGAGCAAGAGCTTTGGCAAGCATAGTCTTTCCGCACCCAGGAGGACCATACAGCAGAACACCGGACGGGGCCGTAAGGAGTGAAGATGTAGATGAATAGAGGTGAGGCATGGTTAGTGGGTAGATGACAGACTCCTTGAGCTCCTCAATGATCTCGTCCAAGCCACCAATATCCTCGAATGATACGGGAATATCGTCTGGGGCAACAACATCCATTGCGATCGCTTGTTCGTATTGATTCAGGGCAAGGTCTCCACGCTTTTGTCTCCGCCCCCGCTTGCCTTCTCTGCGTGGTGAATCTTCATCCGACTCTTCACCCCCATCGAGTCTCCGTAGAATAGCAGCCGACTTACGTCGTTGCTCCTCTTTCTTCTGGCTTTCCGGGTCGAAATCAAGACGAGATAGGAGGTATCGAATGAGGAAGTAGGCAGATGCCGACTGAGAATATCTGTGTTAGTCCAGGCGACACCGGGGGATCAAGTTTCACTAACAGTGCCGGCAACCATCACCAATTCCTGTAAGAATTGCTGCCATCTCGGACCGCGCGCTGAAGCCATGACGATACAACTGCGCTCAATACCAACGACTGTTTATATTATAAGGTATAGAGCACGGCCCTGCTTCAGGAATCCAACTGCAACAAAGCACGCGAGGCCAACAGCGGGATGAAGATAAATTATGCGACGAACCCAGCTGAATGTTACTCGGGTCGGCAAAGCAGCTGTGGCGCGCTGATCGGAGCCGTGGCTTTGCCGACAGCGTCACATGCTTCACTGCCTGTTGGTTGGTTTGCGGTGTCGAAGGCGGAGAAGGTCCCACTGACGCGCCAGTGATCATTCGTCCGAGTTTGTTGTCGTGCTAATCGCTGTGTACAGTACTGGTGTTGCGCGGTGCTTTTTCTTTCTACTATTTTGTATAAAATTATATAAATACACATTCTCGCAATGCCACCAAAGAGAAAGGCCGCGGCCAAGCTTTCTAACTTAGCAGAATTTGACGAGGAGGACGCGACGCAGGCCCAGGAACCACACGACGATGAGCGCCCTACGAAAAAGCCGAGAGGGCGGCCTCGCTCGAAGTCGACGGAGCTCAAGCCACCAACCCAATCGAAAATTGACACCACAGCTGCGCCCTCACAGGCGTCTGAGGTAGCACCGAAGAGGGGCACAAGAAGGGGGAGACCAAGGGGTAGCAGGGGCTCATTGCAATCTGTTACCCAAGAGATAGAAGAGCAGAAGGAACCCGACGAAGCGGAGGAAGACGCTGGTCCTCACGTACCGGAGAGCGTGCCTGCATCTAACGATGAGCTAGTCACATCGCAGCCTGCTACTAGGTCGGCTAGATCTGCGAAACCCGCGAAGCCTACAACCACTCGCGGACGACGCAAGGCGACTGCTGAGAAGCAAGTCAAGACTGATGGCGAATTTCAATATACCCCGAGGAATACGCGACAGCATAAATCACCGGTAAAAGGCGATGAAGAGGCTGAACAATCCACGAAGCGACGGAAAGCTGATCCACAGTCGGAACCAGAAGAGGAGGAGGTGTCAGAAGATGAAAAGGCTGCGCCAGATGTTGTCGAGGAGACCTTTATCCACGAGGAGCCGGTAGAACCTCGCCGGATCTCCATGTCGCCAACTAAGCGTAGACAATCTACTCAACGTCCTCTGCAGAGCTCGCCACTGAAACCTAACGCGGAGCCGGAGTTAAGGCGCAAGATCGGAGAACTCACAAAAAAGTACGATACTTTGGAGAGTCGCTACAGAACCCTTAAAGAGATAGGTGTGGTAGAAGCAAATGCCAATATGGAGAAATTACGGAAACAATGCGAAGCATGACGAATGGTACGTACTCCCGACTTCCCTATCGTTTCGAAGTGATATACTCACTTTTCTAGCATCAAACAACTTGGTTGCTGGTCTGAAGGCAGAACTGGAGGCACAGAAAGCTCTTGGTCAGCAGAGCCGGACTCTGCAGAAACAGTTGAAGGAGCGAGATGCAGAAATTGCTCAATTGAAATCGCAAGCCGAAGATGCCACCAGTCAGCTCTCCTCGGCTCAAACTGAGGTTAAAGCTTTACAGACCAAACTTGCAGCTGCTCGGAATACAGCAGCCAGTCTGGAAAGTGCCGCCGCCAAGGTTCCTGGAAGCGCTATCAAGGGCAGTAACAACCGTGCTAATGCCGCAGCAAATGCTGAAGCCGCGCAAGCAGCTCAGTTTGCACAGCTTAAGGAAGATCTTTACACTGATCTTACTGGTCTGATTATTCGTGATGTGAAGAAGGGAGACTCCGACAATCTTTATGATTGTATCCAGACAGGTATTAACGGGAGTGAGTATCTATACCTCCAACGCATCAGAAATACTCTAATCTGGAGATAGCACTGCACTTCAAACTCGCCGTACCGCACGTTTCGTCAGCCAATTTTGAGAATGCAGAGTTTCAGTATATCCCACTTTTGGATGAAAATCGAGATCGCGACTTGATCGATATCCTTCCCGAGTATTTAACGGTGGATATCACTTTTGTCCGTCAACAAGCGTCGAAATTTTACACCAGAGTCATTGACGCTCTCACAAAACGGCGGACGAGCACTAGTAACTGATAGCTTTTGATCGTTTCTCTGCTCCTATACGCAGTCCCTTTGGAATTGGTTTTGCTCGTGCAACCAACTTGCTTTGATTATGGATTCAGCCCTTGCTCCGTTTTGCATGGTTGGAGTAAAGGCAATGTAACGGCGTATAGTCATTGGACAAGGCATCTGGATAAGGAGTTTAGTGTTAAATTGGATGATCAACTTTTACATATGCAATTATGAACATTTGCGGGTATGAAATAATGGGAACCTCGGTGGACGTCTAGAAGTTTGGAACGCCCCTTTGTGAAGTAGTATATTCTTCTAATACTAGTAGTAGTATCAGGGCAATTGCGGAAACCGTGGGTGCCGTCTACCGTAGCCGCTGCCGTGCCGTCTTGAGGACCGCCGATTGGCTGCGGGCATCCCCAAGTTCCTCAAGTCGTCAGGGACGCGGAAAAGTGCCATCTTTCATCGGAAGATCACTTTGAGGCTGCTGTCGCCTGTCAGCTCCCCATTGCTTCACTTGTCCTTCATTTCAGTTTTATCCCGATCTGATCGCATGCTTAGCCGATATCCTTCTACACAGACCCTTGTCCGTCAATTGATCCGGAGCTGACAAAAGAAACCATGGCGCGTGTCGGCCGCGTTGGGTTTCTCACCCTCGCGGTGGTCTTCCATCTAATGTACGCCTATTCCATCTTTGACATATACTTTGTCAGTCCGATTGTTAGTGGCATGAGATCATTCGGCGTGGAAAGAGATACCAAATCCGAGGCACCGGCCAAGCGCCTGGTCCTATTTGTGGCGGACGGCTTGCGCGCCGATAAGGCGTTTCAAGCATTACCTGACCCAGATGCACCTGCAGATCTTCAGGATGAAGAACCAATCTACCTTGCGCCTTTTATTCGATCCCGCGCTCTCTCTCATGGAACCTTCGGCATCTCCCACACGCGAGTTCCCACCGAATCGAGACCTGGCCATGTTGCGCTTATCGCGGGGTTGTATGAAGATGTTTCGGCAGTGACGACGGGGTGGAAACTCAATCCAGTAGACTTCGATAGCGTCTTCAATAGAAGCCGACATACATGGAGCTGGGGGAGCCCAGATATTCTTCCGATGTTCAAAGAGGGTGCCGTTCCTGGAAGGATTGACGCAGACACATACGGAGAAGAAGCGGAAGACTTCTCGGCAGATGCGACCAAGCTTGACACCTGGGTTTTTGATAAGGTGAAGGAGCTCTTCGCATCTGCCAAGAAAGACCCGGAGTTGGATGCGAAATTGCGAGAAGATAAATTGGTCTTCTTCTTGCACCTTCTTGGTCTAGATACTACTGGTCATTCCTACCGTCCCTATTCAAAGGAGTATCTGCGCAACATCAAGCTGGTAGATAAGGGTGTGCAGGAAATCACGCAACTTGTGGAGAATTTCTACGGTGATGGCAAGACGTCATTTGTGTTCACCGCGGATCATGGTATGAGCGATTGGGGAAGCCATGGGGACGGTCATCCTGACAATACTAGAACCCCGCTAGTTGCTTGGGGCTCTGGTGTTGCCGGTCCCAGTTACACACAAGAGGGAAGCATATCAGGACACGAAGATGGAGTGTCAGCAGACTGGGGCCTTGATAGCGTCCAGCGCAATGATGTTGCACAAGCAGACGTCGCTGCCCTCATGGCCTATTTGGTTGGACTTGACTTTCCCACCAATTCCGTTGGACAGTTGCCCCTCAGCTATCTGGATACCAGTCCTAAAGATAAGGCGTTAGCAGCGCTTGCGAATGCGCAGGGAGTTCTGGAAATGTATCGTGTTAAGGAAGAGCAAAAGCGAGATGCATTATTACGGTATACACCGTTCGAGCCTCTTGCGGATAGCGGCGAGACATCCGTGGAGGTGCGTCTTGAGAGGATCAAGACCCTAATCTCGAACAAGTCTTACGACGCCTCCATTCAATTGAGTTCTGAGCTCTTAGTTACGGCTTTGGACGGCTTGCGGTACCTGCAAACATATGATTGGCTCTTCCTGAGAACCATCGTCACTTTAGGGTATTTAGGTTGGATTGCGTACGCTTTGACGACGGTAATCGATCTGCATGTCCTGCACGGTAAATCCGAGTCGAATCGCACAACGTTCAGCATCATGTTCTTTTCATCTATCCTCGTTGCTCTCTTTTCTGTCTTAATGTATCAAGGCTCTTCATGGAGGTATTACTTCTATGCACTCTTTCCAGTCTTTTTCTGGGAGGAGGTTTTCGCACGGCGGAAGGCCTTGCTTGCTGGCCGTGAGATACTATTGGGTCATGTCCATTCTGTAAGCGGGTACCTTGCATTCGTCATACAGCTCTTGCTATATGTGGGTGTATTGGAGGCATTGGTGCGTTTAGCTGCCCCTCACTCATTAATTAGTAGACGGCTGACAGTACCACCTACAGGTGCAATCATATTTTCACCGGGAAATCTTCACAGTTTGCTTTATCTTGGGGGGCTTTTGGCCAGTAACCTACGGTACCAAGTTCATTGGCGGGCATAAGTTGCTTTCTGCATCATGGGCGCTCGGCTGTTTCCTCATGAGCATTTTTACTCTTCTGCCCGCCAACAAAGTTGAGGACACGATGATGATGTACGAGATGATCCCCATAAGGCGCCTCTGTTCAAACATACACTTCTCTGACTTTTTCTGTGCAGTTCCTGTGGTTCTCTGTTGATGTTCTTGACGGGTCTACTATATCTTATCTTTGAACGCTCTATCTTGGGACAGAAGCGTTCTCCCGATCAAAACTCGGCTGTCTCTAGCTGCGGCTCGCGAACTATTATGGGTGCGCAGGTATGGAAGCCCTCATCAATGCCAATCACACTAGATCCCCCGCTTTTACCAACCACAAGTCCTTGGACTTTCAGGTTGTGATATTGTGACTAAGACTGCCTAGGTCGGTATGATACTGCTTGCCTTGATTGTAACCAAATCAAGTGTAGCATCTCTCCAGGCCAAGCAGGGCCTTCCTCTTGGGAACCAGGTTCTTGGGTGGTCTATCTTGGGTGAGTGCAGTCTCGCTGTTTCCATCTCGCAGGCTATTTGATCAGTCGCCTAAACCCGCGACGGATACCAAAGGACATGCCAGTACTGATACAAAATAAATGTAGTTTCTTCGCTCCTTCTGCCGTTTCTCCACCGTCTGTATCCCAATGGTCACTACCTGCACCGATTGATGGTTATCTTCCTTACCTTTTCTCCGATTTTCATTATCCTCACCATCTCTTACGAAGGCTTATTCTACTTTGTCTTCTGCATGACTCTGCTGGCATGGGTCCGGCTGGAGCAGGCCATCTATGTTCATACAGCGGCACCAGCTAGGGAGCAGGATCATGGCGTGGCCAATGGCTCTATCCCCACGAAAAAGCCGAGTCCAGGAAGCACTGTGGTAGTCGAAGGCCAATCCTACCGATACCGGACACTTAGCGTTTCCGATGCCCGCGTGGCACTGTTTTTCTTTTTCCTCCTTCAGTCGGGATTTTTCAGTACCGGAAATATCGCATCTGTATCATCCTTCTCGCTGGATAGCGTGTACCGGCTAATCCCGATTTTTAACCCCTTTTCTCAGGGCGCCTTGTTGATCTTAAAGCTTCTGATCCCATTTGCGATTATCAGCGCCAACCTGGGCATCCTCAACCGCAGACTGGAGGTGGCTCCCAGCGCTCTGTTTATGGTTGTGATGTCCATCTCAGACGTAATGACGTTAAATTTCTTCTACATGGTCCGTGACGAAGGATCCTGGCTGGAGATTGGCACGACCATTAGTCACTTCTGCATTGCCAGTTTCCTGTGTACGTTCGTGGCAGTCTTGGAGTTCCTGAGTGAATTATTCATCAGTGGAGTGGACTTTGGACACAGCGCCACCACCGTTGGGTCCGCAGTTGCGAAAGCTGTCAATGGGTCCATGGCGTGTGGACATTCTCCGGATTCTGTTAAATCCGGGGATGATACGAAGCACGCGGGGGGTCAGCGCCAAGGCTGATCAGGACGCCCGTTCCTAGAAGATGTTCTGTATATTTCTCATATAGATAGATTTCATACCTTTTTATTATTACCCTAATACATTATTCAATGATCCGACTTGGCTTTAATTTATCTGCATTGAACGCCATTCTGCGCGGTCTGATAAGCATGCATTGTAATGAAAAGGAATGTCGATCTCCATTAGCCGAGGCATCACAAGCCAGAGCATGACGCAATTCGACTCTGGAGGTGTCAGCGCCTAGACCAACCCCGAAGTGCCCGTACCTGTCTGTCATCAGTGCAGAGTTCGACTTGGCGCCAAACTCTCCGAATCCTCCCTACCATCAGCCTTAAGGTTTGGACAGATCCCGAAGCGAGATTGTGGGGAGCCAACCGCCTGGATTCCAGTGTGGCAATCGTGCTACCTGTCAGGAACGGCGAATGAGGCTTTGCTCGGGTGCTCAACCCCCCCGGTCTGAGGAATTTGGGTATGGAGTGTGTGGTCACGTCTGTGCGGAGGGGCGAGGATCCTTATCCCGTCTTGGGAAAGGACTGCGAGGGTGTGGGAAGAGATGTCGGGTGATAGGCGGGTGGCAATAAGAGGTTGGATCTTGGGGGAGGCGAGGTGCGCGTTCTGGGGACAGGATCTCGTTCGAGATTATCTGATTCGATATAGTGATAGATATGGAGTTCTATATCGCATGATCAGACGTTCGTGTTTATATTGAATTGCGTATTCGTATCATCGTCAACTGCAAAAGCCGACGCCGGCACATACTCCTAGTACCTACACACGCTGTACCTCCATGCAATTCATACTTTAATCCCCGATCGGGTGGAACGCAGGAACCGGGTGTCGTCGTATCCGTGCAGCGGATATTCTGGTCAGATATCCCCGATCGGTATATCTCAAATATATTTCAGTCTATAATATATATTTTTGTACACATGGACGCAATTGCATATACATGACTAGCAGATGTGCTATGGGGTTGTGGGGAGTTCCCGGTCTACGGTGAACCGATTATCTGTTATCTATTGAAGTCTGACTATATATATTTCGACACGAGGACTCGGGCAACGGGGATCAGTGAATCCCGATCACCAACAACCCGTTAGATTTAGCACGAGTCAAGCGTTTTAACGGATATTCATTCCCATTGTTGACTCGGGACTAACCGCCAGGGGCAAGTGGTGAGAGCAGTGATGGACCTTTAGTAGACAGACCGTCGAACTTACCGTGCGCTTGGGATTGGACTGGACCTTGGGTCACCATGTGCGCCAAACACTAGACCAATTCCCATTGCCGTTTGAGAGTCCACCTGATCTGGATGTCGTGCGGATCTTAAGTCCGCTGTTTTACCTGGAGGCCTGGTGGAGTCGTTGCCTAACTACGCTACTACTAGTAGTCTTATTACTGTACTGCACTCTTTATGTTCATGATACATAATTAAGAGTCTATCAGGTTGCCTACCTGGAATTGTTTGTCAGTTGCTGTTCGTATGTAATTTATGTAACACCGTGCAAGAACTTATGCCCGTCATTGACGCATAAATGTTGATAGTGTACGGAGTCCATGTGGATTCGGATTACCTAAAACATAAACCTGTGTGGAGTTGAAAAATACATCAAAGAAGCTTAAAGCTCCAGTCAGCTTTCCCCCCTTCCATATGGTTTTTTAAAGTTGGCAGCTTCATTCACCGGGAGACACAGCAAAAGAACTCTAAATGCACAGAAAGTGGCGACACGTGCAGCAGAGAATCCTTCCCTGGTTGAATGTTGAGTCAGTCCCCTATGGGCCAGGATCTGGTTAGGGTTGGGTTACATCAAGGATATCCCGGTGTATTACTTACCATACCGAGCTTGCTTTTATTTTGGGTACAGACAATAACCTTACCTAGCTTCCATCCCTTGGGAAGCAGCACTTGGGTTTCATACACTTGCAGTACCTTGGACGGACTGACCACCTGCTTCATAGAGTAAGGTTCTGAGGAACCCCAAAAGACAGTTAAGAAATACCGGGTGTCACTGCACCATGGTAAATCCCAGGCGTTAATTATCCACGGAGAAGACTATCCAGAATCCCAGACATGGACCCTTGGTGCTTTCTGGATCCTTAGGTTAGTTCTCCGGCGCTACCGAGAGATTTGCCAACCATCAAGACTTTAGTGCAGCAGTAGTTCACCCGTCTAGCAACAGGAAACGAAGTAATACTAATCACCCTTCTCCACACCATCTATTTCCGGGATGGATGATCCGCCCCAAAGTCCACCGTTCTGACTGCTACTGGTATTATTGCCACTCCCCGCTCGTGTCCTTCTGCCACCATCCAGAACGGAGTATACTCTCTCTCGCGCGCGCGCGCCCGTTGTTCCCCATCCTTCATTTTGGAACTCTACCTTGCTGTTTTTGGCGGGTTTTGCCCTCTCTCTGCCCTCTCGAATCAAATAATTCACCAGTCCAATCCCATCACCACCACGATCCTGTCTCCAGAATTTCACGTTCCTGACAACCTTTTTACCTTCCGGGAAATTCTCTGTCCACACATTCTCTCACCCTTCTACTGGAGTGATTCTCGGTCTCCGGGCCCTCCATTCTCCCCCCCTTACCCTTTTCCCTCGATCGCATCGCATCCATTACTCGGGTGGCGGCGACCTTCGACCCGTGAATTTGCCTAGTACTTTTACTTACCCCAGTAGCAGCTGAGCAAGAAAAAAAAAAAGAAAAAGAAAAAAGCTGCAAAAGAGAACCAGAGGGGACAACAAGCGTGGTCGAGGCACGTCTTTCGGGTTCCCTGTAATTTTCTTCTTTTCTTTTCACCTGGCCTATTCTGGATTTATTACATTATTTATATTTTCTATAACCTTGGCTATATCCCCAATCCCTATATTATCGCCCTCGTCGCTCCGAGCGTTCTTTCGGTCGCGTTTTCTCTGCATGGATACTTTTTGGCCATGAGCACAACAGGAGAAAACCACACAGATTCTACTTCCAGACCAAGCCCGGCCCCGAGCGCCACAGGCTCAACGGGAACTTCAGGTATTACAGTGCGAGCCGGCCCAAACGGACAGATGAGTTTCAGAAGGTGTGTGTGATGATATTTCCTTGCCCTGGGGTGGTTCACCAAGTGTGGGTTTCTGCGCTGTCGCGGGGCTACAGCGCACGAGGGGATGGTCGCAGATCACCAAAGTTGGAGTTGGAAAGGGTCCCTGGGTGGATGGGAACGGTCGAGATTTTAAAGGAGTACAGATGGATGCTAATCAGATTTATCTAATCGCTGTTTGAATAGACAACGTGCGTCGCGTGCTTGTGAGGTATGTCTCTTTGTTCTTATGAGGTCGACGCGACCTGTGAAAGCCTCGGCACCTCGGCACATCGCAGCTTTGCGTTGCTGACCCCCTATCATGCTATCTATCTATCAGGCAATCCTGGTGACGGTAGCATAACGCAACCACGATAATGGTTTTATTTGAACATCTTGTTTGCTAACGTACTTTTTTTCTTATCTCGTGAAGACATGCCATGCTCGAAAAGTAAGTCCCCCTGGTCCAGACTGATTTGATCTCCTTTTTGGCTCCCATTCCTTCCGGTGTCACCCGCCCGCCATGCTAGGTCTCTGCAGGAAAGGAGATCGCTAATCGCGTCATTTGCCCACAGGTACGCTGCGATGCTGCCAGTCTAGGTGTGCCATGCACCAACTGTGTGGCCTTTTCGATCGAGTGCAAGATCCCCACGCCGAAACGCAAGAAGAACCAAACAAAAGTTAGGGAGAGCTCCGGGTATGTTTTCAAATACCTCATATATCGATTCGCCGTCGACTTCATCCCAACATCTACTGATTCGCCATCGAAATGTGTAGTAGCGAAGAGAACCCTCAGAAAGAAACACCCAAGGAGGAGCAGCCGACGACGGACGGCAAGGATGCTTTCGGTTATTCGAGTAATCGAATGGCTGTCGACGGTATGCCTGTTACATCACTCACCGAGTCGCAGGCCGCTCAGCAAGCCACCCAAAATGGAGCATATGCTCAGTTCATGAAACCAAAGTTTGCGCGTGCCCCGATCAAAGAAGCTGGCCGGGTCGCGTACCTTGGCGAGTCCTCGAATCTTTCGCTCCTGGTGCAGGACCGCCATGGAACGACGGACGTTGTACATTATCCCCTTCCGCCCAATGTTCGCGGCTCTCGTGCTAGATTGGCGGATCTGGATAACCTGGAACTGGATATCCTTCACCAGCGTGGTGCCTTTCTTCTACCGCCAAAGCCTCTTTGTGATGAACTAGTCGATGCCTACTTCAAATGGGTCGCCCCCGTAGTACCCATTGTTAACCGCAGCCGTTTCATGCGACACTACCGCGACCCCAAGAACCCACCTTCCTTACTCCTCCTTCAGGCTATACTTCTCGCTGGGTCCAGGGTGTGTACAAACCCTCAGTTGATGGATGCCAATGGTTCGACAACCCCAGCAGCTATGACATTTTACAAGCGGGCAAAAGCCCTCTACGACGCTAATTACGAAGATGACCGTGTCACTATCGTCCAGGCCTTGGTACTCCTGGGCTGGTACTGGGAGGGCCCGGAGGACGTTACTAAAAACGTCTTTTACTGGACGAGAGTGGCTATGGTTGTAGCGCAAGGGTCGGGTATGCACCGAAGGTATGTTGTTGCCCTCATTGCGGAAACATTATGGACAACCATCTAATATCCACAGCGTTGAATCGTCCCAACTGAGCAAGCCGGATAAAAGACTCTGGAAGCGAATTTGGTGGACTCTCTTCACAAGGGACCGATCCGTAGCAGTGGCCTTGGGGCGCCCAATCGGTATTAACACAGATGACTCGGACGTTGGCATGTTAACCGAGGACGATTTCATCGAAGACGAGATTGACATAGCAGCCGAGCACCCGCCGGACCCCGTGCATGTACAGTTCTTCCTGCAATATGTCAAGCTCTGCGAGATCATGGGCTTGGTACTTGCGCAGCAGTACTCTGTGGCTTCGAAGTCGAGACGCATGAATGCT